TTGTGGTTCCCGTTAGCTCACAACTTATTTATTTGCACTGCTTTTGTATACAATTATGAAATAATGAAGACAATATTATTTAAGAAAAAAAAAACTTATTTTGTCACTCATTTTCTTATTACAGAATTCATATTTCCACAATAATTAATTTCACTTTGTTCGTTCTTCAATACTTTCATAATTGTGACGATTATTTAATTGCAGAGCAATTCTTTCCTGGAGTGGAACTAGAGGCAGAAATAGCGTACTTTGTTGACGACTGTGTGGCTCTTACTTTTACTCAGCGTAGAGAAGCAAAGCAAGCTTTGGTTGACATTTTAGAACAAAGGGGTGTCTGCAAACAAAATGGCGTCTCTGTTTGTAATATCTCGGACGTCCAAATTGAATGCGGTCCTCAGTATTCCTTTGGTGGTGTTCGTAAACGTGACACGTCTGGCAATATTTTGAGGTTCAGATTTAAGATTAAAACACAACAGAAGCCTTCAATTGATTTAGACTGTACCAAGTATTGTAATGGCTCTGAAAACTGTGACGAATGCGCCCAAGGATACATGTCAGAGACGGAGAATATGATGAACAGCCAGCAGAAAGAAGTTCAGAATATATTCAGCCCAGTTGGTTCTCAAATCAATGAAACAGCGCCAAATGTCACAGAAGCGCCTTATCCAACACCAGTGCTGAAGATTGGAACTTTGGTACTGAATCCGGTGCCAAACAGTTTCAAGATGGACAAGAATATGTCGGTGTCTTGTGAAGATGGTATGGAAGTACGCGGGACAACCTGTGGTGAGTACCCACTTTTATGATCATGTTCCACATTTAAATATGCTCAAAGTTATTACACTCAAAGATGCATTTGACCATTATTTGTATATATTCAGTATATTCTATTGACCCTTCATCACATTGCTCTTACTTGTAGGTAAATTGAATTTATCAGTTTGGGGAGAGTATGAGTTAACTTTGAAACTAAAGACTTGGTCAGCATCTAATGACGAACCGTTTATGGGCCTGTATATCCAAACGGAAAGGTACACAGCCCGAGACAACATAAGAGCTATAGCAAGGCACATCAATGTTAAGATCCGTGTCATGCAAACACACCTTAGTTTAACACATCTTTAAGTAAGGACGTAGATATTCAAAAGAGGTTGCGTGTTTTTGCTACGATAAGCGGCCATTTCCTGTCTTGGTTTGAAAAATACAGTGCATTGGAAGTGACATATAGGGGTAAAGGCCTATGTCTGTTGGCAACGTGCGATAAACTTTCGTTAAGGATGAGGTTTTGTTAACACAAACAATGCTACCAAAATGTGTTGTTTTGGACTCTGTCAAGTGTTGGTCATAATTTTGTTTATGCAGCTGGTGCGAGTCTGAGCAGGATCAAGGGCTGTTAGCATGCCTGGATGCGGTGTTTTAGTCAATCATACATTGTACACGTGAGCAATCGACCCAGAAAAAGTCGTCTGTGTGCATGAATTCCAACAGCTTTGAGAGGTGACCTTGAAAAATTGCCACGTATTAAGCAAAAACCTCTTATAGTTTTGTGCATTAATGTCGAAAACTAAATGAAAGGAACAAAAATCCTTTTTTTTAACTTAGTTAAAGGGATAATAACTCTTCGTATGATATCTATATTTCACGATAAAAACATTGCGAACAACTCATAGAAATATAATATATTCTGTTTTACCACAAAAACGGCAGTTATAGCTATTATTCTGATATCTGAGCTTGTCTTCAGATCACGTGACCTCCATTGATGGCTGTACTCTGTTATAATCTCTTAAGAGATTTTAACAAAAAACCAAACTTTTTAGAAAAAAACTTTGAATGTAAAAATGGATTCATTAACCATTGGTAAGTATGGGAGAATTGTTGTTTACTCCAGGAAAATTCATTTTTTGGCCAAAAGGAAGAGTTATTATCCCTTTAAGTTAGTCGTATTTTATCATTTCCATTCTCTATATGCAAAGAGTATCTGAGGAGACACTTGCATCAGGTACATGTAGCTAGCTGTTATAGAACTGTGGATTTTAACTCTCGGCAGGAACTCTCTTGACATGCTGGGGCTAGCTCTTCCTCTGTCACTTTCTATTTTCATTTTTATCTGGTTATCATTTGAAGTCAGGCAGATTTATTATTACGAGGAAAATTTATTTCACCTAACTGTGTCCGGGATCTGTCAAATTGTGGAAATTAGACAGTTTGGGATAGGCCCGGGTTCTGGAAAATGATTAGAGAATATCCTGTTTATTTGAAAGATGAGCAAGAGTGGAAATTAACATGAAATTGAATAAATCAACTTCTAATATTAAGCATTTGTTGATCAACTGTGCTTATTTTGCATTAATGGTTTAAGGAAATCCGTTGTAATCAAACCAAATGCACAACTAGACACTGGTTTTACAGATTTCAACAACAGGCTACTATGCCAATGACCATACACAGACTATATCGTTTGTTCTGTTACTTAAACATGTGTAATATACCTCTTTATAGTTATTTGATATATGTTATATTTTATTTAAACTATGTTCATCTTTCATTTTCAGTCCCATGTCCTGCTGGCAGGTATCTGCCACCAGGGGGCTCCACCTGTCACAAATGCCCGCCAGGAACGTTCCAAATCGAGACTCAACAAACATTCTGCCTGCCATGTCCGCGCGGATTTCTCTCTCTGTCTGGAGCATCTGACTGTAGCCCGTTATTCAAGATCATCTTCGACTTCATAAAACACGTCGGAGAACTAATGGATAGTATAAATGAAAACGAAGATGACATTTCGTCTCTTTTATCATTAAAGTAAATGGATGCAGGCAGTCTGTGTTATATTCCAGAAGGGGGATATGGGGTATGGGGGTGCTATCATATAGTGACACAGGGCAGTGTAAAGATAGGAATATCACCTACTAAATATTTTGTACTGGGGCATCCTTATGAAAACGAGTAAAAATGTTAATCCTGCCTTTGGCTGTTATACTTTTTACAAGTACGTAAAATGTATCATATAAGAAACAACAGTTAGGTCAAATGTTTTAGTTTTTTTGGATATAAATTTTCTTCGCTTGCTATATTTTGCCAGGTGTTGTTGACCATTAGCGTTTGTACTGTTGGTGCATCTGTACTTCTTTTCCTTAAATGGCGTGTTTCTTTGATATTGTTCCAAAATAAATAAACTGGAGCTTTATGTATTCATACCCAAATGTTTTGATTCCAATGCAGTGTTAAGTATATTTTTACTGTATTCAGTGGACCTGTGCCTTGTTTGACATGGCACGGCGGAAATATTAATTTAACTGAATTGTGAAAGTTCCAACGTTGATTATATAAAGGTAGCTGTTGAATCATCCCCCAGTTATGTTATCATTGAGAGCTTTGAACAAGTGTATCTTTGTTCCACACCCTCTTCCGAGTCGCTTATCCGTCCTACTGCTGCACTCAGATCTGAAGATTAGTAAACACGTCAGTTTTTATGTAAATATCACTTACCAACATTTCTTCAACTATGAAGCGGAGTTTTGAATGAAGATTATTATCTGGCTAGCGGTGGAGTTTCTGTTGTTAGCATGGGTTCCCTAATTCCGATTATATTTAATAGCAAGATCCAGATACCACATGATTTATAATTTTTCTATTATTTTGTCCAACAATTGTTGTTGGTTGGAGTTCGTGACTGGATTTTAACCAAATTTCTGTTTCTTTACTGAAATATCTGGGCATCTACTTTTCTTGATGTCAGTTGCAAGTGTCTGTGTGAAGCTCACCTAATGATGTTTCTCATTTAAACTAATGATTTTAATTTGGGAAAGTTCCTTAACTTGTGGTTTTGCAGGAGGGCTATAAAGGGAAGAGCGTGCCCTTAACGTCCTTTGCTTAACATTTTATCACTCGCTGCTTAAAAAATCACAACTTAAACCTGCTAATTAGAGACTGAGTGAGACTTCAGTAATAGCTTAACATTGATAAATAGTGCTAACGGCGCTGAATAGGAGTTGTTTGATGACGGATAACCTGCCTGAATGGTTGTTTATGTATTTCAAACCCGCATTTAATTTCCCTCAACACTTTTTAAAGACACGTTAGAGTCCGTGTTGTTGCTGATACAGCGCGGATAAAAATGAAAAGGTTGGGTTTAGTTGTAAAATGAGAGTTGTTACAGGGACTTGCAATTGACCCATGGATTTATAGCCTATTTGGTATTTAAAAGCAGTGTCCTCTAAATGATGAAAAAAATTGTTAATACAGTGGTAAGCACATGCTACTAATGTGTCATCACCATGGACAATGGCGATCCAAGTACTCAATATTACATGTACAGTGCACATATACCAATCGCCTACAATGCAGGTATTGTGGTATAATAAAATGCATGACTCCTTAATTGAGAATTTTTGTCTTTAATAACTCGGTGGGATTTTAAGGAATCTGACATTTAAAATCATGAATGTCATTTTCAAATAGTTTAAAACTATTTTCCTTACGGTTGTTTCCTTTTAAGATTGGTAAATAGCATGAGGATTTATTGATATTAAAATGGCTGCCTTACGGCAACTTACTAAAACGTGGAAAAAACAGGTTTCAAGGTCATTCAAAGTCATTATATAAAACATTACCATTAAATAAATTGAATGCAAGTAAAACACTGATATTGCATACATTGAACGCAATTACATGGCATTAATTGATCCTAAGCAGGGACTTTTGAAACCAAAATCTTGACCCCAGAATGGCGGGGTCCTACATTACAACCACATGAAATGATTAAAAAAGGAGGCGGCTGCAGATGCCTAGGACGTATACGTCGTATTTCTAATACCTGCATGTGGTATACATGTTATCTGCTATTATCAAAATATATCATTGTAGGATGGAACAATACAAGACATACGATTATGTTTTTTCTATAATTTTATTTATTTATTATGGTAATTAAAAACACTGTCAAACTGATAATGCAGATAAAGAAAAGTCACGCTTGGTCACATTTTATCATGGTGTGACATTTACACACATACAACATGACGCTCTTTACTATGGAATGTTTTGGAGTCTTATGACACATATTATGACAATATTTTCTGTTTCCCGGTACACAATTGCTGTCTTTGGTGACGGAGGTTTTTGTGTCCTCATGAACTACCTGCTCGACATGACGCACCGTCTCCCAGCATTCCCGGGGGGCAAGATTCACACCTAAAGCCAAGCCCGGGGGCAGGGATGTCTATACACTGTACACCTTGGTAACAGGAACCTTCCCGGCAGCCAGGAACATCTGGAATTATAACATGGCTTCTTGTATACTTCTAGTGTAGATGCTACATGCACTGTATATCTATTAAACTACGGGCGGAAGGTGTGTGTGTGTGTGCGTGTGTGAGAGAGAGACAGAGATAGAGAGAGTAAATGATGATGATGACGATGATGATGACGGTTATACCCAATACATATCCTGGCATATTTGACTACCAAATGACCAAACCTACATACTATTAGTCAAGCCATTACTCACCGACTTCGCACCTAGCTCCCTCCCAGCCACTGTGACACAGACAGCTTCCATCCCTGGGGTCACAGCGGCCGTTAACACAGTCACACGTCTCTTGACAGTTGTCACCATAGCTACCATCTGGGCAGACTGGAGACACAAAACACTGACTTCAAACGACATCGTGATTGTTAATTGACTAGAGAAAGTGGTTTATTATCTAGACATCTAAATAACTGACTTTGGACCTAAATGTTGACTTCATACTACGGTACTTGTAAAACACAAACGAACTCTTGTTTATAAGGTCTGTGCGAGAACAAATGCCAATGATTTAAATCAGCTACAGAAGACGAAACTTTACATGGCCAAACCTTACGACAATTCTGTATCTATTACAGCATGCAATATGTCAACAGCAGCCCACTCACCAGAGCACATCCGGGCACCTGGGCTCTTTGTTGTGGTTCCTACAGGGCACGGTAGGCACTGGAGTTGTCTTTCTAGGGGCTGGAACTGCCCTGATGAACACGGCAGACAATCGTTAACACCTTTGTCCAGGTACGTCCCCGGCTGGCAAGGCACTGCAAGTAGGAACACCATCTTACATTACCTACGTGTTGTCAGGCTTACAGACGAGGATTTTTGCAAACAAGCATCGCCGGAAAGAACGGGATATGTTTAAAACATTGGGTCAGTATTTTAGAACATGAGTGTAGTTAATGCACTTCGATTTATTTATCAAACAATAAATAAATAATAAAATAAATAAATAAATATTAAAAAACGAAATGTGTTTATAGGAATTATGTTTTTTTATGAAATGATAGCTATTCTCTTAAGATGGTCAAACATACTAACCACAAGTTTCATTGGCGGCTCTCATGCCCTCTTCACACGCTACTACCACGTCGCTTGTCTTGACATCGTCTGGCTCGAACTCTCTCCTCGCCGCCATGAATTTCATCCTGTTTTTTTCATTGGAGAATTTCTGGGTTAACTGCCTTTTGGCATACAACATGGTGGCCCTCATAAAGCGGCGGAAAGTCGGGAAGCAAAGTTCGGAACAAAAGGCGTCTGGGATACGTAAAAATTGACAGATCTTGTCGCAGTCTTTAGTTTCGTTGAACATCTTTTTGGCGGTCAAGTTAAAGGAGAAATCGACGGACTCGACTACCTCGTCCACTCCACGTCTTCGCCGCCGTCTAGTGGTTCTGCCACAAATGATATCCACGTTTGCGACGTCGCAGACTTTGGTGGTGCGTTTTAGGCAGATTCCTTCTGCTGTGAGTTTATCAGCGAACTCCTGGCGCACAGCAAGGCGCTCCTCGGGAGTGAGATCGTTACAGGCGCGGACGAAGTAGGCAGACTCTGCCTCCAACCGGAAGTCAGGGAAGAATTGTTCTAAAAGAGATGAACATGACCTTTCAGTAAGATCAGAGTCATAAGAATGTGCTCAGTGACACGTGTAAGTATATATTTATTAAATAATTTTGGAAAGTAAATGGGTAGGATAAATAATATAATCCGATCTTCTGTAACATTAATCCATTAAGAGATGTTTCAATTAAATAACTATAACTGCAAATAAGTTAGTGCAGTTTTAAGTGTACCGATATTCTAACCCGTGTAAAACATACATGTCTAAACATAGTGTACTGATCACACCTTAGTTTTAAACAATTTACATGAGTTTGTTTCATCACCAATACACTAGCTGTAGAATGCTTATGAATTGAATGAATACAATGTTAAAATATCTGTCAACGACACATAACGCAGGCATAGTTTCCCGTACCAACCTAAGCAAGGTTTGAAGGTGTTCTCCGGATCTTCCTGTTGATGAGACCAGATAAACCCCGTGGACGGTCCACATGACTCGTAGTCGTTGATCCTGGATGGGAACTCGTAGTCTTTGTTACATTTCACGCTGCACTGCTGAGAATTCTGTTCCCTGTACCAGTGGCAAACCAGACCACCATTGAGGGGGGCGTCCTCTGTCGTCAGGTTTCTGCACTGCTGCTCCACTGAAAATATTACAATTCTTGTTATTGAATTGCCGTTATGGTGTTATTACTCTACCATTTACCAGGGCGACAGATTAATTTTTCACAGATATGGCTCTAGATAAATAGACAGTCATTTGGCTCTGTGGCTTTTCCCATTTTTCCCTACATAATCTGCCACCCTGGTGGAGGGTATTATTACCCTGTACAAAAATCAAATAGGTAAAACTTAAGCGTTCCATACCATGCTTTGGGTTTGGAGGCAACACTGCAAATATAGGCATGTGTGCGAGATAAGCCAGGAACTTTGTTTTCAATGGCCTTAAAATAACTTCTTCCAATAGAAAGGAATAATATGAATACCATTTTGAATCAGACACTGACATTTTGAAAACTTACCGACACAAACGTGTTTGTTTTCCGGGCTTATCCCGTATCCCTGAATAGAACAGCTGCACTTGTAACCGCCGTCGTTGTTGTCGCATACGTCATCGCACGGACCCCGGCCTCCGTTTGGTGCGCACTCGTCTATGTCTGTAGGAAATTAGAAAACGTGAACTTGAACCTGCACATAGGCCTAAAGATGGAACCACTTCAACCGCGCTCAGTTAATGGATACTCTACATTTGCAATTAATCCTTACACATAGGAATAGTATCAACAATAAATAATTCATTAAATTATTAATCCTATAACTATACTGATTAATATTATATTTGATGTAGAATGTGCTTTTTATATGAGAAATGTTTTCGTCGGATTGATAAACCCGACCGCAGTGGTTTTATTCGAAATACTTAGTAGCCTATTCGTGGTGCTAGGCTGGTCTGTAATACCAGATTACAGCTCATCCTTATTTCCTACCTACGCACGGTCCGCCCGCGTTCCCTGTGTAGCCAGCGTCACACGTACAGCCGCTCTTCATGTTCGCTACTCCATCAGTGTGAGAGTGTACGGGGCACGGTAAACAACTTCTCTCATCTGACTTGTATGTGTTCTGGAGACAGGCTGGGGAAATAAACAAATATTTAATAGCATTGAAATGACAAAAGGTGCCATCTATCTTAACCTCCCAGCAATCAATACTCGCTGTCCAACGCATTTTGTCTAGATCTGAGATTAACGAGGGCGCACGTGAGCTGATTTGAAACATCCGCCAGTAAGTTTGTCTTGTGTTAATATTCAAACATGCAAACACTCCATTAGAATACAAGACTGAAGCTAAAACATTAACACAAAATAAATAAATAAATAAATAAATAAATTGACTTACGAGCACAAGTGGCGTCGGTGCCGTCCCATTGACCGTTCCCCTGACAGGTCCTCATTGCGCTGCCTTTCTCCATGATGTAGCCATCATCACAGCGGAACTCACACACGTCACCAGGGCGATCACCGCAAGCTGAGCTGGTACCATGGTCTGGCTGGGATAACGGAGGGCATTTCACCTCTACCAAAAAGAAAAGCTGATGAATGAAGTGAACTTTATAAGAACGCTCGAGTAAGATATCCGTTATAATTGACATCAACAGCCGCCAAAATAATCCAAATTAAAAAGTATGATCTCTCACCTTGACAAGGACCGCCTGCAGGGCCAGAGTAGCCGTCATCACAAACACACTGGTCCTGGCTTGTGCTGGCCTCAGTGAGGGTGTGCGTGTTAGCAGGGCATGGAGAACATGTCTTAGACCCACTCGGCATGTATGTATTTACCGGACAGGCTGGAAATAGAGACATATCATATAAAGCTTAGGTCAGTGTCCTCTGACTATTACTTATATTACATATAGCTTAGGTCAGTTTTCTCTGCCCTATTACTTTTATTATTATTATTTTCACTGGAGCTCTTTATGCCTACTAGTCCCCAGTATATTGTGCATATATATAGTTATCTCAAATATGAATCATAATTTTAAATACCTCTCACTGATAACTAATATAAGTACCTGTATAAGTGTATTATTTAACTCGCTATCTGCCAGTTTAAGAAAACTCCAGGTTGTAACAGCTGTATTTGCGACACACCCACCTTCCCCACACACATTCTACACGCAGCCCTACCCCCCCCCCCCCCCTTGCCCCTGTAAACACTGACCTTCACATGTGGGAACTGAACCGCTCCATTTACCATCAGCCTTACACTTGATGGACTTGGTGCCAACCAGCACGTAACCATGGAAACAACTGTAGGTGATGTTGCTAGGGTAGTAATAGACACTGCCATCTTTGGCGCCGTTGGCAGGTTGCCCTGGGTTACCACAACTTGCGGCTGTAAAAGAGATTTCGATCCTAATAGATCCTTTAGATCCTAACCTAAGTCTAAACTGTGCTTATTTTGAATTGACCAAGTTTTCCTTTCCCAGCATCAGTTGGGGGTCGTATATTTACTACGATAACTTACAGACACCTTGAAAGAACGAATTCATGGCAGTTACCTTGGCAACGAGGTTCTGTGGCGTTCCAAAACCCGGTCTCAAGGCACTTGACAGCGTGGGACCCCTGGATCACGTGACCCGCGTCACACTCAAACGTCACAATTGACCCAAAGGTGTAACGGCTTCCAATGATTTCTCCGTTTTTCGGCCTTCTGGGGGCGTCGCATTTTATCTCTGCAGGAAAAGAAAATAAACATTTAAAGCAGAATATTTCTTTCGTTTTAATGGTCTAAGCGTCCTCATACTAAAAGTGCTACTTGCACCATATCATGCACCCCTTAGACTCTATTTAGGTGCTTTTTCACCCACTAGTACATGTATTATATTTTCCACAGAAACCATTTCAAGCAGTTAACATAAGGAAACTGATCGTTTGCACATTATAGAAGACATAACACAGCTTGTTAATGCCTTCTTTAAAAAGGTAAAATGTGCTCTATTTTTTTTTTTTTTAATTGAGTAGATAACGTTGAATGTCAATAGCATTTTTACTACTGACATAACAACCCTTCCTCTGATATGCTCATTGCATTACTCAGGCCAATGCATGTAGTATATTTACAGTCCATATTTTAGTGGTGTCTTACCTTTACAGACTGGTGTAGACCCGGACCACGTTCCGGTAGCCATGCACTTTCTTCTATCGGCCCCCTCCAGTTTGTAGCCTGTCTGGCAGGTAAAGGTGACGACATCATTGAAATAAAACGCAGTGCCGTCTCTCTGGCCGTGACTAGGAACACCAGGGTCACCACATGATATCGCTGGAACACACAGAGTTCAGTGCACACACGGTTTACTACCATTACCTTTATTTTGATATGAAATCAAACCTGAAAACTTGAAACTATTGCTTTCTTATCAATTAAAGTTACGTTTTTCTTTTTAGGGAACCTAGCATCGTTTTTAACTATTACATTTATAAAGTTAACATATATTTGATTCTATGACATCAGACCTAAATACGTTTATATTACATTGATGCATCTTACCGTAGCTATTATGTAAGGAAATTTAGTATACGATCGCTTTGAAATGTTATTATTATAGTTAAACAATGAAAATGAAACAATGCACAATATAAAATAGATAGATACGAAACTAACGATCACAAATTGGGTCAATCCCGCTCCATTTCCCAGTATCTCCTTGGTCAAGCTGGCACGTTCTGATGGCTGCACCCACCATCTGATAGCCCTCCTGGCAGCGGTAGACCAACTGGTCATCAAACGCATACTTCTCTTGGACGTTCAGGATTTCCACGTGGTCTTTAGCCGCCGGCATCGTGCATACAACCCCTGCAAACAACAGAAATAATTGTAGTTAAGAAGCCAATGGTAAGCTTTTTTGAATATAGATGGTTATGTATCATTATAAAGAATAAGCATTTAAAAAGGAGGGGGAGAGATTATTAAGGAGCTTTTCTGAATCAGTGATATATCATGAACTTACGAGAACATTTAGGTGGTTCTCCATTCCACGTCCCGTCCGGCTGACACGTGATGGAGTCCCTTCCCGCCAAATGGTAGCCTTCATTGCACGTGAAAGATGCCACAGAGCGCACGCGCGCAGGCCAAGTTCCGGTGACGCGACCGTTTTCAGGTTTTAGAGGATGAGGACAAACAATTTCTGAAATAGGTTAAAGAGATAATTTTTTCTTGCCTATAACTGCAGAGAGAGAGAGATGCCTCGTTTAGCATCTTTAAAGCAATATTTGGCCGTGGACGTTTTTTTTAATCTATTTATTTTTATTTTGATTATTTATTAATTTTCTTCTTGGCGAAAATTTAAGCTCAGCTGAAGTAAACATAGCGGTTTGACCAATTTCTCAACTATTTCTATAAAATGTATAAGATGTCTGTTGTAGATTTTACAGCATACGACTTCTAAGTGCCAATGTTCAGTAGATGGAAAGAGTACCCACCTTCGTCACAGCATTGACCTTTCCACCCAACCAGACATGCGCAGTTGCCACTTCCGTCTCCTCTGCCGCCATTAGCGCAGTCCTCGTTACACCGGGAGGTCGCCTCCAGTTTTTTGGCACATTGAAAATTTTGTAACTCTGCACAACGACCAATCGTTTGCTGCTCTCGTGTTCTCGTTCTCGTGCCTCCGCCGCACCTGAAATACAACATTTATTTATTCATTTGCTTATATAAATGCAGGCCCGTAGCCGGGGGAAGGGGGGGGGGGTGCGGGGGTTCGAAAGACCACCCCCCTTTTTGCCGGGAAAAGGTCCACTCTAGGTAAATTTGATCTAGGTACACTAAGGTTTAATGACAAACAGTCCACATTTTCAGAAAAAGACCCCCCTTTTTTTTCAATTTCTGGCTACGGGCCTGAAATGTCTCCGTTTCAAAGACTCCCGAGACGTTACTCTGCTGCAGGTTCAAAGGGCGTTGACCCATCTATTTAGCCATGCTATACGTGCCTATTGGAGCAAGCTGACCAGTCTGTCCATTCGGTGACACAGATAGAGTGACACAGCTGCTCTAGTTGAAACTGGTACATCCGGGGATCCCAGTTGGTGGCCGCCTTCTCAGCTTTCCCTCTCCCTAGTAACAGGCCTCCTATGCTGACCACGCCCTTCAATAGACCCCCCACAGCCTTGCCTATACCCCCCAGGAAACCGCGCTTCATGCGGTGGTTGGGATGAAGAGATTTGACCAGGCGGCCGGGGTCTTGGGATGATTTGTCTCCGTCTACGTCATGGAACCTGTGAAATAAATAAATAAATAAATAAAATAAATACATAAATAAATAAATAAAATCTTAGACCTTCGACTGTTCATCAAAATTTATGTTAAAGATGTCCATAAGAATCTTTAGAACCTATATAAATGTCCCCAGCCTGCACATAGAAGTCAAGAAATGGTATTTGTGTGCGTGACAAACCACATCTTGTCGCCTCATGTAGCCGATAGCCCCGTGTCTGCTGTCAGTGTTTAGTAGTTATAAATTGCTGTGTTACTTCTTATTTGAAAATGAAAACGAACTGCATGTATCTCGAAAGCTACATGTACTTGTGATGTGTGTGTGTGTGTGTGTGTGTGTGTGTGTGTGTGCAGGGGTGGTGGTGCGTGTTCATGCGCGCGCGTCTGGGGGTGCCTACATATTGAGCCGCGTACACAGGAGTAATCTGAACTCAGATACGTTAAAAACCTTAGGTGGTGTTAGCGTCTTCCTGCAACCCATCTCAAGTTTGCCATCATTCAGGAGAGGTGCAGTGGATAATTTCATTCTAGGCTTTTGTTTTTCTAAAGCAACACTTTTCAGTAGGCTAATGTCGACCACGTCCATGCATACTCTGACTTCCACACTGTGAAGATAACTTTAAAAACTTACAAGTCGTCTAAAGCAACATCTCCCTTCTCTCCTTTGAGGTCTATTTCTTTCTCTCCTGCAAATTGTTTTTCTTCGGTAGCTTGGGACGCTGCAGCCAGAGCCACCAATATGAATACCGCCAGCGACAGCCGTGGCGCCATCTTTCAGTGGCAATAGATCACCTGAAATATTAATCCACCTTGAAATCTTACCTTAAATGTATTGAGAATGGAAGGGTGACATCTTTCATCACACAACGCAGGGAGGGTAGCATTTTACACACGTCTTCTGTGAGACGTACAGTAACAGGCAGGTGTGGGAGTACGCGCGCGCATGGGCGCACAGTCATTCAAGTACGCCCACATACGCACACACACAAACATTCTCAGTCCTAGAAACCCCCCCCCCAGGTCCAATCTTATAACTAATGACAGCATGCACATTTAATATGCGGGGGCTGCAGTCTTTTCCTCGGCAACACAAATTAAATAAGCGTCCAATACTTGTAATCTTTCTTTTAAAACACATGTGTAAATAATCGTGAAACATTAGTAAATCTATCATGCTTGGGAGTGTGCGGGACACCTCAGTCTGCCGGCATCTGAATTCATCAGTTTTTTAGTGCGAATGTGTCACCTACGACAACACTGCAGGGTGACCTGCGCTGCACGATATTTGCTGGCATAACATTCTGTCTAGGCCCGCGTCAGGAGGGCTTATGTGAACACATTTAAATCTTATATACTGAAATATACATGAAAGCGCTAGACTTATTTTAAATGTTGGGATTAGTCCCGAAACATTGTACTCCTCGGTGCTTCTAAAATTGTGAAATTACAATCAGCTATTAAACAGAAAATAAAGTTAACTTACCGCAGTTAAAACGTGTTATGAAATCGTGACAGGAATAGCAGACGACACAACAAGTTGCGCTAAGCGTGGCTCCAGCGTTTCTGAATGACACTTAGTCCTATACAACCATCAAATGAACCAAGCCCTCTCTGCAGGTCAGAGGTCACGGAACGCGGATTTTCCCTGACTGTTCACTCAGCTCCCGGGGCGGAGATGTTAGCGGCAAACAAATCAAACTAAGATCCGCTTTAGCAGGAAACGCTGATTAAATGATTAAACCCTTCCCCGAAAATTGAGATAAGGTGAGAATGAATAACAGCACAAAGAGAGTTAAATCCGCTTCAGAGGGCTGGAAGACCATCCCGACTGGACGGTGCCCAGTTTACTGATTCCTGGCTTCTCTGGCTTCTTGTCTGGAAATTATTTTTATCAACTCTCCAGTGCGCGTGTCCTGAATTCAGTTGAAATTGCCATTATTCCTGCACTTTAAAACTACAGTGTTTGGAAAAAAAGATATACAATCCCAATGTTCACGACGGTGACATTGCTTACAAGGCCTGTGCCTTCTAACGCTTGTCCATCGCGGTATTAACGAGGACGTATTTACAGCACAACTGTGATATCTTTGTTCATTTCTGATTCAAGGCGTACAAAGCTACTAAATACGAAAATCAACTCTGTGCCATAAGATAAGTTTATTTTAAAGCTATTTACATAACTCGCCCAACATGCTTCAACACTATCTAATTTTATATAACATCTGGGCAAATGTTTTGAGGGGGGAAGCTTTATGCTTTGGGAAGATGACACTTGTCTAGTTACACGTCCAATACGATTGCAATGGCATCCAGCGCATACTTGGCACGAAAAGAGTAATAAGCAGTACGCTATATCTTTTTCATGTATGATACAAATATGTTTAACTTGTAAAAAAAAAAAAAAAAATATATATATATATATATATATATAATAATCTGTAATTAATATATATATATATATATATATTTTTTTTTTTTTAATTTGCGTGGAGCAACCTCGCCCCTGGAAATGTTCAAGTCACTCCCTTGTTAGTATGGAACAGACAGATTAAATGTATTCACCAAACCACAGACGCTGTAATCTCCTCAAGGTCCGGGAATTGCTGAGCCTGAAAAACAGGAACTTATAATTGATAAATTCCCCAAGCCTATTTGCTTACTTTCCACCCAAGTCCGGGTCTGGAAAACTAGTCATTAGCTAAGTCCGGGTGCAGCCTGCTTCTCATTGGTCAATCCCTGGATGAGGTCAGGCTGACAGCTGTCGGCTGCAGGCCCTGTAAGTAGTCCCACAGAGATGAGGATATCACTACACCTGTTGAATTTGGAAAGAGGTGACATTAAGCGTATCTCGTGAAGTATAATCATTTCGGCTCTAGCGCGTCTCGGAGCAGAGTAACTCAGTACACACTTCACGTTACCGCACAAATCACCGCGTTCATAGTTTGAGCATCTTGAACAGACATCCGGCCCGCAAAATGAAGGCAGTATTGTTGCTGCTTGTTCTCTGCATTTGTGCGAACTCGGCTCAGGTAAGTGTCTTTCTTTTTTATGAACCATTTGTAATGATGAATGTCGAATACAAAAACACGAATTTAGTTGCCAGGGTAAACAGCTTAGCAGGAAATACGACGCCAGGACCTACTGCCCAGCAACCATACGTGGCTCGTCGCTTCTATTGCCGCGTGTGTTGTGCTCTCGTTAATTCTTTCTGTGATAAACGCTGAATCTAGATTTATATTAAGATTTATTCCAAGGATCAGCATTTATTCAGTCCGTACAAAGACGCTGATTCCGAAAGGTTTTTAAAATACATTTTCTCTTTCTAGCAATGGGCGAATGACAAGCAGTAACATGCATAGTTTAACGTTGGGAATGTTTCGAAAAAATATATCTTGCTTAAGTATTACCTATTTAAACAGGCAGATATTTTTGTCAAGCCATCTAAATTGTTCCTCAGGTATATATCAAGTAATAATTCAATATTGTGCATGTAGACACTGGGACGGATTGTTTATGCAAATTGATTTACAACTTTTATCTCTGGACTGCTTTTTTTTAAACCAATCATGCATCAAAGGATGCAAGTAATAAATAAATAAGTAAATAATATGTCAAGTCTGCATAAGATCCCAAACATTTTCAAACAAGATTATTTGGATTGTTATCATAACTTGATTCACAAGTCGGAGAAGTAAATAGGATGTTTCAGTTAACGGGCAATATTTCAGCAAATTGTTTCTGTGAGGATAAGGAATGTGGAAGAGAGTGACACAATTGACAATTGGTGTTTCGAAAAAAGACTCGTGAAAACGCGTCGACTGTGCCATACATGTGAGGGGCTATAATGAATACGGGGGGGGGGGGTATATGATGTATCCTGATGTGTTCCTAAAACACTGTCCAGTGAAAGATTTGCAGCTTTGAAATGTGCCATACATGCGGGGGGGGGGGGGGGGGGCCGGGATGATGTATAAAGGAGGGGGGGTGGGCTATGATCTATACGGGGGGGGGGGGCATGATGTCTCCTGTTTTGTTCCTTAAACACTGTTCAGTGAAAAATTAGCAGCATTGAAATACCTATGACGAATCTTTTTCAGGCCGATATCGGAGATGTCTTTTTGTCGTTCGCCAAGTTGATATTCCCTGGTTTAGGCAAAGGCCGGGGTCATGGCAGGGGTCGAGGTCACTGGGGAGACAATGATGATTACGGTGAGTGTATCCCAGAATCTGAAGTCAGCAGGATTTGCGTACATTAATTTGCAACAATATAGATTTGTATACATACATGTACCTGTATATATATTATAAGTTTTTATATCATTTATTATACATTTATAATATTTTAAGCTCTCTAGACAAGACCTGTGACGTATGGGAGTGGTCCCTCTGTTACCGAACCATTCCCCAGTGGTGATCAGTATATGGCATTATACTTAGTTATCAAATGGTCCAGTAGGCCTAAAGCGGCCACGTCCTACTGGGCGACGCGGTTGTATTTGTTACTGTGACCATCATGTCTGGTAAATCTTTCAGACCAACCAGAGCCACCCAAGACAAATATGTACGTCTCTGTAATGGAGAGCTACGGCGACCGAGTCTACCGTCTGACGTCACAGCCGGTACAGCCCAGCAGCTGGCGCCAAATCACGCGTGGAAATGCGATAAACGGCGATGTGTCTTACTTCAAGGGATATATGTCTTCATACAGGGGCTTTGATTCCCGCATTCAAATAAACGGCGCCTCCATGTATGTGTCACGAAGTAGAGAGCCCGGCACAGTCCGCTATGAGCTGACAGAGTGTTATGTTAACGGTCAGAAGTCCAGCCGCGTCTCCACCAGAGGAGGATGTGGCGGTAACGGAAGGGTCGCGAATAACTACGAGTTCTATGCTTTTCCTGGCAGTAAGTACTAACCATTACCGTATTGTATAGCATTAATTTTTTATTATCTTATCGGATATCATATTATAAGGAAAAAAGTTGGCGCTATACGTTCCTATTTAACTAGACTTTGAGAAACCGTTTGTCACTGTTTAAGCTTGATATAAAGAGTCATAAACAAAATAGTATGCAAACCACTCTATATAATCCTTCATTAGAACTGGCCTGTGAGATCCCGGCATTGAACGCCCACACGTCCGACCGGCGAAGCATCACTGACGGCTTGACTGTGGCCATATCGTACTCGTGTACCGTGGGTTACCGCAGTGTGGGCGGAGATGGCTACATCCAGTGTGGGGACGACGGGCGATGGATGGGGACACCTTTACAATGTGAACGTAAGTATGGGGACGAGGAGTGTTGGTGGATATGGCGGAATAACGCTGTGAGGAATGCTGAACACCCGTATGTTTTGTTTGCTTGAACGGAACATGAAAGGATTGCGGTAGCAGTGATCCCTGTGTGAGTGCCTGAGATGCATTTGAAACTCTGCTTTTTTTTAATATACAGAGTTCGCTGTCATAACAATTTAAACTCTAGACTTCGGATGTCATGATCTTCTTTCACTTATCTATATGTCTATTGATATTCACGCTGCATTGTCTTAGGGAAAGTTATTTTTTGCTACACCGCCAGCAGTAAATTTATTTGGATCTCATGAATTGAAGGTATTTAGTTATATATATATACAAACCGATATTGTTTCTGCCAGCAATCCAGTGTGGTCGGCCTAAAGGAATACTCAATGGACAGGTGCGAGGGGACAGCTTCACCTACAGATCTACTGTGTCCTACGAGTGTAACCAGGGTTACCAGCTCTCTGCCTCCTCCTCAAGGGTGAAGCAGTGCAACCAATATGGCGAATGGATCCCAAGCAAAGATCCCGAGTGTGTTCGTAAGCAGCGCCTTTGTTTTTTATTTAAAATGAATCGATTAACGTATCTAATGATGTACCCTACTATTTCACCATTTTATTGGTTTATTATGACTTTTATTATTAGGCCTAATACATATTTTTGTAACAGCTAGCTAAGTCCTACATTGCGCATTGATCGTTAAACGGATGCCGATCCAACGAACATGCTTTTACATATACGAAGGTATCTGGTCACGTGACATATATTTCTACATTTTAGCTAAGAGCTGTAATTTCCCCGGCGACATTCAGAACGGTCACGTGATTGGAACAGACTATACTTTCGGTAACGTAGTGAGCTTCTCTTGTGACCCAGATTACAAGCTGGTGGGGGCTCCACAGGTCAGATGTACCGCCAGTGGCAGGTGGGATGACCGCACTCCGACCTGTGAATGTAAGTTACCATATTTTTTAATCTGAGATAACATCCATATACTTTGCCTTACAAATAAATAATTGGAAATCTGAACATTGAAAAATGCCTAGAATTCCCTAAGAGGAAAAGGAACGATGTGGACGAGATTACGTCATTTACGTCACTGTCGACTATTAATTAGACCGATACATTGGGTGGATGCTCTAACTCAGTGCTCTAACACAGTGTTGTATTGTGGTTGCAGTGATTACCTGTGATCGTCAAGCTCCTCCTCAGAATGGCCGCCTGGTTGGGTCACAGTTCAAGGTCGGGACAGAGATCGTGTTTGAATGCCGGGAAGGGTACATTCTGGTAGGACCTGCCAGAATCTCGTGTGACCTTGACCCCGTGACCAATGCTGGTGTAAGAAGTAGCCCCAGTAATCCCACATGTCAAAGTAAGTCTATATAAGCGCTCTTATAGTGTATTAACAACGTGAACTCTTCACGCACGCTCGGCTGTCACCTTGATTGGATAGTAAACGATTGTCGTAAAATCGCTATATAATTTAAAAACTGGGTGTATAAATTTGAAAACCACCTAGAACAACCTTAGACTGCCACATTAATCCAATGCAAAAATAAACTATAAAAAGTGGTTAAAGCATTCAAAACGAATGTCGTTAAGTCCCCATGTACCTCCATAGAGACAATCAAATAGAGTACCTGTGTACTTTACTTCCAGAGGTCTCGTGTCCTCCCCCCGTGGACCCAGAGAACGGCAACGTGCGCGTCCTGACTGATGTCACCTACGGCCAAGAGATCGACTTCGAGTGTCGCCGAGGTTTTTACCTGCAGGGGTCGCCACGTGCCACGTGTCAGGCTGACGGTCAGTGGGACTCCCCACCGCCCACCTGTGTCGGTGAGTGAAGACGACGCTTATGTTTGGAAAATATCCATTATAAATATGAACTGGGTTGTGTTATGCAGTACCAGAGAAATTGAAGTTTCATCATAAGATGTTTGCAGCAATGCAACAGTGTAACACCCATTATGTCTGATTGGTTTTCTATTTGCTTCTTCACGGTACAATCTAGGTAATGGAAATGAATTCAAATTTAATGTTTAATTACATGTATCAATAGTATCGTGCTCGTGTCGATACTGACTGATTTCTCACTGCTTACACTGTCGGCGGCAGCGGTGGGACCAGTAAATAACATGCAAAGTTGTCTATTATATATCCAGCTATGCAGTGCAGAGATCCTGGAAACGTTGCCAATGCGAACAAGACTGGAAGTGCCCCCTTTATCTACGGCTCCACCGTAAGCTTCACCTGTGAGACCGGCTCACAGTTAGTTGGACAAAGCGTCCTACTCTGTCAAGATGACGGGACCTGGAGCAGTCAACTTCCTACATGTGAAGGTGATTTTTTTCTTTCCTTGAGCAAATTTCCTGGAACCGTTTTGTACAAATATGATAACATTTGGGTGGGGTGCCATGTCTTTTAAAATCCAATAGTCTTTCGTCAGGCTATTTCAACTGGCTGGTCCTAACAATGCTTACTGGACGTGCATTTGAACTGATCGTTTTGATGTCACAATGTTTTTGTTTTTTTTTGTATCCAGGTGGCTTGGTTTATATTTATATTTATATAACGGATGTGTTTCTTTAATTAGTACCTGGATGTTAACATTGATTACTAAGGAAATATTATCTTTATTTTTAGACTGTGTAAAAGGCAATTATTCAATCTTTCAGTTATCCAATGCCCGGTGGTCAAGCCTCCTCTTAATGGCGCTAAGAACGTGGACAGCTCCACCCACCCCGTCACCATGACGTTTTCTTGTTTCCCTGGTTACGAGCTTGATGGACAGAGAACCGCCCAGTGTCAGCCTAATGGACAGTGGAGCATGACCCAGGCTCCGGCATGTAAAGGTACACGGCAGGGGAAGTCGAACGTCGACTACCGTCACCTTAAAAATACCTGTTTCTTTTTTAAAAAATGTAGTAATTTGTACCATTCTCTTCATGTTAAAAAAATATGAGACTAAGTTCAAAAGCAAATCAATGTACTTATCATAAGACGTGATTAAATCAGAGGTAAATTATTTTCAGCAGTAGAAATGTCAGGTAACGTCAAGGGGACCAAAGCCGTTCAAATAGTATTATACCTTTACACGTCACTGATCACAACTCTTATCTTCAGCATTACCGTTTTACACTTTTTACGTGCAGGAAGCTATCTCTTAATTTACTCTCATCTCATATTCCTGTTGTGTTTCTAGTTTGTCCTATTGGTACCTACAAGGAAGGGATGACAGGTGGTCAGTGTCAGCCATGTCCAGCACGCTCCAGCACGTCGGCAGAGGGCAGCACCAGCCGGCAGTACTGTCTTTGTCAAGACGGGTCTAAAGCCACTGACACTGGCGAATGTGAAGGTGAGAGTTCACTATGGTTGGTTATTTTCTGAAAACTGTTGTCAATTTTTCAATATTTATGGATGATAGTTACGATGCATAAACACATGTACTGTGTGTGAGAGTATGCTAAAGCGGTATATCTATACATCCCCAGAGATAACCTGTGACCCGCTGGAGGCTCCTGTCAATGGTTCCATCTTGCCGTGTGGCAGTGTCAGCGACTCCCAGTGCCAGTTAACGTGTGATCCGGGCTTCATTCTTCAGGGGAGTAGAACCAGAAGGTGTACCGCCACGGGATGGACCGGGAACCCGACCACCTGCACAGGTGAGACCGAGGGTTTCCACAGCTCTGCTTTTATTATAGCCACCACCTATGAAACAACTAAGTTCTGTACTTCATCACTCTTAGTGACACGCCCAGTGACCAAGTCTGTGGCTCTCTAGACTTCGATGTATGCAATGTCATATACTCGACAGCTATAGGTCATTTGGTATATGTAGTATTCATAGCTACTAGTATTTTTCTGACAACTGCGACTACAAGTTAGGTAGACGTCTTATTTTCTTTACTCTTCCTCATATTTATAGCCTGTCCACCAAACACATACAAGAGTGACATCTTTTCGTCGTCATGTCTGCCCTGCCCACAGAATTCTGAAACTACGGGCCTAGGGACGTCGCTGCAGTCGTGCACGTGCAAGACGGGCTATCAAGGTTTACCAGGAACACATTGTCAAGGTAGGGGAACAGTAAACCAGTCTGAGTGACAGCAATGGACGTGTTTATCACATACCACTCTAACATCATGTCGTTATGAGATTAAATTTACCTCTTGATATGCAGTGGCAGGTTAACTGCAGTTCACAAGCAAGAAAAGGAAGCCTTTACTTTTACAATACATGTGGTATTTGACACTTCAAGGTGTAAACCCTAAAGAAATGTCGTTATTTTAGATGTGGATGAATGTGCAACCAATAATGGCGGTTGTAATCAAGAGTGCCACAACTCGAAAGGCAGCTACTCCTGCGCATGCTCCATCCCTGGATATGAGTTGGATGCAGACGGCAAGACATGTGTCCGTAAGTATCAGTGTTTTTTATCAACTTTCAATGTGCCCAGAGTTGTGTCGCTAATAAGGACAGTTCAGAAGTGTTAAAAAAACAGGCGGCCAAGCCGGTTAACAAGGTCTCTACACATTCACGAGTTAATTTATTTTCAGTTTTTATTTACCCTCATTTGAAGAGTTTTTACAAATACAATAGAAGCATCATACACTGTACCTATGGTTATTATAATTTCACAACACATTTGTTTGCCGGTGGTGAACTATAACTGTGAACATATAAAATGTATGCATCTTTTTCAGTGAACAAAACTTGCGGCGACATTGACGAGAAGCCAGATAACGGATTCTTAGAGTGCAAACGTAATGACGAATACAACGGAGCAGTGTGTATCATTAAATGTGACCCGGGATTCTTCTTTGTCTCCGGCATAAACAATTACATCACGTGTGGGGCGGGGACAGATTTCGTCTGGTCACACCAGCTGGTGAACGCGTCGGCCAGGATTCCTGCATGTACCAGTAAGTGTGGAATATTGAGGTCGTACTAGGCCGAGATCAAACTATGTACATACATATGTACCAGTAAGTGTAGAATATTGAGGTCGTACTAGGCCGAGATCACACTATGTACATACATATGTACAAGTAAGTGTAGAATATTGAGGTCGTACTAGGCCGAGATCACACTATGTGGGTGCGTCGTAACTGCACAGTGAAGAACAGTTTTGGTAGCAAATGGTGACCTGCCACACACACAATTATTAGAGTATATTATAGTTTTTTCTCTGTATTTATTTGCTGAAAATAGAAACTATCATAGTGACAGTATTTAACACATGCGGATGAAATAGCTATCATAGCAACAGTGCTTGACATCATTTATTAACGGCCAAGTTGTTTACGACAAATTACTGTCGGCATTGAGCGATTTTTTGTCAGAACCAGGCTTCTTTTTCTAAAATTCGACAGAAATCACAAAGTTATTGCTAAGAATTCCCTGTACGTCAATACAAACTATTTCAGCCTTGCAGTTAAGGCGATTATGTGACATATTGACGAAAAGATTTGGTGATTGATACGTATCCAGTTAACACATATTTATTTAGGGAACAAAAGATTCGGAAGCATAGCTCATTCAATTTAACCTAATACTGGTCCACATTTTGTTTTATACTTCAAAGTATCTATTCATTGTTTCAGGGGAGTTCTTTGTTGACATTCAGTTACCGATAACTTTTTCTTATGAGACGAGGAAATCCTGCAATGCTCTTCCTATCGCCACGTCTGAGTTCACTGCCACCATCCAAGAAGCAATAAACAAGTTCAATGTCTGCCGTGGTCTTTGTGAGGTACGGTATAGTATATCTCAGAATTTACTGATCACCAGTCTTAAAAAAAATTATCCTGTTTTCCTTATTATAATCAGTTAATAATAACTTTTGGGTAGATTAATTGGTATTTAACATTAATCTGTACAGTTAAGGGTTTGGAGGCGGAGGGACATGTCATGCCCTAGGGGTGTGAGGTGTAGAGGCGCAAGGATATGTCATATTCTGGGGTGTGGAAGTGGAGAGGGGAACCTGCCTTAGGGGATCTTAGTGTGTGTGTGGGGGAGGGGGGGGGGAGTAGCGAGTAACGTGACTGCTGGGGCATGCACTCCTGGAATAACATTCTGAGGAAATTTACAAAAATATGTTTTTCATGTTACATGTTACATACATGTAGGACAAATGAATGTGTATCTTGATAAAGTATGTCACAATGAAATTTGACCACTTTCAAATAATCAATAAATAAAAGAAGAGCACTTTACAATCCAGGTGCAAAATTTACGTACTGACTGTCAGGACGGGAGTCAGCCAGACACATCCGAGGTCCGAGTGTCTCTCAGCGTTCTGCTGAGAAACCCAGAAGAAAACGCCGTGTCTCCTGGATGCGACTCCACGTGCAAGAGGAAGAACCTCAGAGAAATCTTGGGCGATTCCTTTGCGCTTAAAAACAGTATACAAAAGCTGGTAGAAGGTGACTCGCCTCAGCTCCAACCTGCAGCCCTCTCTGAGTTTGACCTTGACACAACGTCCTTCACCTTTTCCAGACCACAGATGCTATGTGAGAAAGGACGTGTCTTTACCAAAAACAGGTTATGTGGTAAGTGTAGTTGGTATGGATTCACGAATATTCCATTATTTTGAATATAGATGTAGTACGTGTTGGTATTTTTTTTTTTTTTTTTTTGCATTTAGATCTTACAATGAATCAACCGCGTTTCAGTGTAAACATTTTGTCAAATTTTTCTCATTAACAAATCTCACGTTCATTACTTCTAGTGCCGTGTGACAAGGGTTACTTCCTCCCGCAACGTGACCTAGAAAACTGTCTTCCGTGCCCACTGGGGACATTCCAAGACAAACAGGGTCAAACGAGCTGCACGCCCTGTCATCCCAGTGCCACCACGTCGATAGAGGGCGCTTACCACGCTGTGATGTGTAACGTGGTGGTTACAGATATCCCTGGGAAGGAGGGACCCACAGACACTTTGCTGCCAAATAGTGCGGTTTAGTGTGATAGATGGCGCTAGTGCTGTATGAATTTTGCACATCTTACCTATCAGTTATTGGTAAGAGTTTAGTACTGAGAACCTGTGTCATTGCCTTGACTCTTTTGTCATTAAACAAGAAGCAGTGTGTAGTAGGGATACTTGAAGACATTTTCATAATAATTGTAAAGGAAGACTAGTGGAGTTTTTTTTAACATTCCAAGTTTTCAGTGGAACAAACATGTATATTCCAAGCAGACGACAAATAAAGAATATAACTGAAGTGTTCATTTAATAGATGATTACGTATAATTTCATGCTTTATGAATACAATACTCTTGTTCGTGAATAATCCCATTGCATTTTGATACAAAATTAATTTTTTCGATATTACTTTTTATGTCTTTGATAACTAAATATACATGTTGTAAGTATTTATACAAAAAAATAGAATAAAAGGTTAAAAATAGAATAAAAAATAAAAAGTTAGAAATACTCAGATTAACTGTCAAAATGTTTTGCAAAGCACACGTTCAATAAATCCATATTTTGTAATTACCCTTAACTTGTGAGACAAAATACAACGCCAAATGCTTGAGCTACATTGTACACGTGTACAAGATTGTCCTTCGTATTATCACACATAAAACTAATGTATGGTCTGTCAAAAAGTAAAAAATGAACAAAAAAAATCAAAAGCCACTATATCTGTTGTCGTTATAGGCCCCATGCAATTATGAAATCGGGCACCTAGTTCTACACAAGGCCATAGCCATTTTACAGATCACAATTTATTCCTAGTATGGTCGTAATGAAATCGCCTGAATGAATTGGGGCACAAGATGCGCTCCGTCAAATTTAAAAAGTCATGTTTAAACGTTTTAACGTTAATTAAAATTAATCATACCCTGTATATTGTGAAAGATGCGTCTGTACATGTATTAATGCGTGTATATGCTCATATGGCAAACAATGTCATTTACATATTATCTAACTTTTCCAACCGCGCTACTGCGGCCATTGATCTCAAGCGCTTTCGGGGGTCGGGTACCCAGCATGTTTCAATGAGGCTTCTCAGATCATGAGGAGGTGATGTAAGTCCAGGTTGCTCAAACTGTGGACGCCATTCTGACATGTCATTGACATCTCTGAACGCTATGTCCTGGTTTGCTCTCATCCCAAACCACATCTCCCACAGTATCAACCCCATGCTGAAGATGTCTGACGGAAAACCATAGATGTCACCTCTTCTCACTTCCGGTGCCATATAAAGGTTAGTCCCGCAGGTAGTGCCGAGAATATCGTTGATTGGTTTACACAGCCCAACGTCTGCCAATTTTACTTGATCATCTCTACTGATCTAAAACATAAAATACCCACACATTTAAACAACATTTAAACGTATTAGATGAAGATGATTATTGATTTAGCTGTCAGGAGCAGGTTTTTTTATTCTTTTAACAGTTTCCAAACACGTCTTTAGGTTGACTGCCCGTTAAATGAGTTTAACATTAAATCCTTTAACGCATTCTAGATTATATTAATAAACTATATGTAATATTAATACATAAATGTATGGGCCATCTCACGTCACACAAACAATAATTGTTTCAGTATAAAATAGTTTTGTGGATTCTGGTTTTAAATTTTTAAATCTTGAACATTTTTTCAGGATTATTCTAATGATAATTATATTTTTGTAATGTTCTCTTTATTTTTTCGTTGAAGGTAATAAACAGTAGGTTTAGAACGTAAAACTATTATTTACATTGAAGGTAATTTGAAAGTTTTATTATCATTCCCAGACTCAATATACTAAGTGTAGATTGTTCTATCTCCAAGGGGATTCTCGCTTAATTGCAACCAACTTAAGCGACTTAGGGAAGGGCCGGGGCGCAACCATCTGAAGAATGTTACACGTTTCGGCTAAGCATGTCCACCATAAGTCTGCATTGTATTTAGCTACTGTCTATTCACAACACAAATAGGGCGAATAGCTTCCATGCTACTCCTTTCTTACATAAGACACTGGATGAAATAGTCGGTGAAAATAGGCGAAAAAGCACGTTTTCCTCGGCAACTCATGCTACACCATGTTGTTATAAACCGGAGACACACCAATTAAGATTTCTTTACCATATGCCTATGTTTATGTGCCCATCAGTGCGCGGGAGGGTCATAAAACAATACAATATAATAATGTAAGTCATATAAAACCTTACCAAGATGTTTTCAGGCTTCAGATCCCTATGTGCATAACCTTGTCTGTGGATATAGTGAAGACCCTGGAATATCTGTTGGCCAAAGAACGCCACCGCGGTGGTCAAGAAACGAGGGTCGACGCGACGGTTAGTTTTACGCCTTTCCTCAAACTGGTTGTGTTGATTTGGGACAATGATACGCTGGGCTAAGGTGAAGTCGACGTATTCCATGATAATGGCAACGTTCACACTGCCGCCGGCAACCCGCTGTGCTGCAGTCCCGCGATATTCAATGATGTTCTTGTGGCTTAATTTTCTGCAAAATGGAATTTGATAACTAAAGGTTCAGTAACAGTTAAATTGCTAAATATTTGATTTTAAACATATATTTTAAACATGTTTTTAAAAAATTTCGAGGTCTAGGGCGTAGTGGTGGACTAGCGTCTGATCTTATGGTTTACCACATACATGCACGCTTTGGTGTCACGTGGTGGCAGCCCACGCGGGATTACTCGCTTCAAGTAAGATCCAGTATCAGATTCAATTTTTCTTTACTTATATATGTATATACAGACTTGACATTTAATATGGAATATTTCAGTTTTAAAGGTATACCTAGGTAAAAATGCGTTCTTTTTTCAAAAAATTCAGATCTCATATAAGACATCTGACTGGAGAAGTGTGTAGTCAGGTGTGTCGCTGCCAATTAACTGACTACCTAGTCTGTTGCTCTGTTGTCTTGTGTAATATGCAGTGATTTAATTGGGCAGTGCTCCTTTGGGCTGGTCAAAGCTTGGCTTTGGCGAAGCATGGTTCTGTCAAAAAAGTATCCATATATCGGCAACTACTGCATAGACGAATTTGAAATTTTGTATGCAAGAGGTCGGTTTTGCAGTGCGTAAAATGAAGTAAGCAGTGTTTTACAAAATTGTTAAGCTGTGCCAGAATGGCGCAAAAAGCACAGACATTGCCAGACAGATTATTGTGTCAAACGGAATGGTCTATACAGTTTTATAGAGTAATGCCCAGACTGATGTACCTACACAGAGACCACGCCCAATGCATTGGCGTATTACCACCAGGGTACAGGACTCACTGTCCTTCAGGATATGCTGCTGCAATTAAACCAAAACCACCCAGTCCGTTTTGAATGAGGGGTAAATTGTCACCAAAACGCGTTTTTCAAGGCTCTTATCGTACACCAAACTGGTTTCAGCAGGTTAAGATACCAGATGACCTCTGAGGAAGCCACTGTAAACAACAAAACAGCGCAGTCTGTTTCTCTAATGAATTGGGGACCATGACCGTTTCTGGGTAGAACACTGAAACCGCGTGGCTTTCTTTATTGGGGTCAAACTTCACCTGTACCGCTAAACTGGTCAAAACAGAGTTTACAGACATCCTGAAGAGGCCTACGACGAAACGTGTGCCACTTCTTAAGTGACCAGGGTCATTGACAGTGTCAGTATTTGGAGTGGATACCACATTGGTGCCAAAACACCAATAGTAGTCATCGATGAAAACCTGAACCAGATCAAATAAAGGAATAATCTGGGAACCACTTGACTATCATTTGATAGGGGGCAACTTAGGAACAATTTTAGGTTGCACGATGAGATTGCCGGTTCACACAGAGGACTTTTAATAGCAGATAACTTACAGAACCAAGGGAATGAGTAGCTACCTTGGTCATCAAAATCGCCATAATTGAACCACATAGCCAATATGTCGGTTGGTCATTACTCGCCGTATCAACGGCCTGCATGTTCTACAACAAAACTGAGCCAAATTGGACAAGTTTTAACCGTTGCCCGGATTTTATTTCAGATTGAACTCTAAAAACCTATCATAAGGAATACCTTGCGGCTTGAAACCTCTGGTAGCAGCAAGATGAGGTAAAGCGTAACAGCGACTGTTGCTGTGACTAGAGACTGANTATATATATATATATATATATATATATATATATATATATATATATATATATATATATATATAATAAGTTAAAACACGACGAGGAGAATCACAACATTCACTCTGTCAGCATCGGGTATTATATAGGCTAGATACGCTGCAATTTACATCTGCGTTACCACACAACCTTTTTATTAACTCTGTAACGAGCAAATGCTTTGTTTTCAGAGTCGTCACCGATACCTGCAACCAAGTCCACAATGAGGACATCAACCAATATGGCTGGAGACTGTTTACTTTTATAACTATCAGCAGCCCGAGATAAACTATAACCTGGGTCAGTCAATCTTTGTACATGTAAGCATGACAAATGAGTTGAGATTACCTTAATGCTTCTTCTTCATTCAAGAAATCACTGGCTCTGCAATAAGAAGAGGGGCATGTATGAACACACACAATGGTTATCTCTTTACACACCTTATATACGGTAGATGATTGACATGTCCTACACTGCAGTATACACTATTTCTTTATAGTCTCACATATAGGCTACTTCTCATCTTAAGTACTCGGTTATAAAAAAACTCTACTTGTACAGGTGCAGTGGTTGTTTCTTTTTCGATGCACTAAAAAACCCAAACGTTCGAGTTTAGAATATAAATTTGGTCTCGTTCTTACCTCCTGGAGTCGCTATCAGTGTAATCGAAGGCCGAAAATGAGCACTTCATCTCCTTCACAGCAACATCTTCTCTCTCGTGTGTCGCCTTGCGCACATCTCCAAACATCCCGCTGGCGACCCTCTCCCCCCAGCAGATGTCTGTGTATGCGATACAGTAGTCCCGTATTGCCGCAATGTACAGAATGTCAAATCTAGATGTAATGCGCCTATTTTCCTTGCAACAGTCGTAGATTCGAGCAGTTTCTTCGCTGTGAAGCAGTGCTTGCTCTTTTAACAGCTCCACGTCAACCTGGACAATCTGTTTGATCATGTCATAAGACTCAAACAATGGCTCCAGCTGGGATCTCAACATTTCTTCAATTTTCTTTGCCAAATGGTTCTCCTTTTCACAACACTTGGCAATCTGTTTTTCAGCAATAGAATGCATTGCTTTTGATTTATCTTTATTGTACCTGACGGAGCTTACTTTGTCCTTAATGGCATATGCTGACACTGCAGGGATAAGAAACACGGACGCCACGAGACCAACAGGGATCCACAGAGGTGCAGTAGCTGCCACGAGAACCTTCTGGGTTTTATTGATCCGTATTTTTGGTCCTATGCTTTCGTTGATTTGCAACGCAGTGGTTTGATCTCCTCCTTCTCCTATCTCCTCCGACTCTCCATAATTATAAGCTATCTGGGCTTCTATCAACTTTTGCTGGTGCTCTAATAATTGGTATTTGCTAGCGATATCCTCCCAAAGTTGGTTGCGGATATTTTCAAAGTAATGTTTCTCTGTCAGCCATTTGTCCACCTCAGCGTTGATTTTCCTATTTGTGGCCACTTTTGCTGCTTTGTAGAATGCTGGCCACTGGGTGCCTGATTTGCAGTCGGGAAAGTCGTCACCTTCAAAGCGCAGAATGGCCTCTCGTATGCTTCCATTTTTAAGAAGACCTAGTATTTCTCTTGCCGCGTCTTCACTTGCCTTAATAACGGCGGCATTGATCTCCGCTAGCACTGTCCCGTGTTGGCGCTCCAGAATCTGCAGCTGCTGTGACAGATAGTCTCTTAAGCGTTCGTCCTGACTCATGGAGTTTCTTTTCTGGCGTATTGTGGAATGCAGATGGATAGATGAGCGTTGCAGAAGGTACGTCGCTCTCCTGAAATGACGATAAAACATTCAGAATATTCAACTTCAATCCATGGGGTATTAACACAGTTTGTCAAGAACAGAGGGAAATGCACTAGGCTGAAAGACAGCTTTAGAGATCAAACGGCAAATTATACCGAGATAATGTTCAGGAAAATAATTGCCATTGCATACCTGTATATGGTCTCCTGTTTAACCCTCTGGGTCCTGGGGATCAGAAGTTCTATGCCATGAAGCAATGCTGCATAGTCCGGATTTACGACGTCCTGTTGTAATGCGCTGTAGGCCTGAAATGTCCAGTTAAGAAGAGCTGATTATCGTATTTCTGATCTGAAGACCGATTGTAATTTTACTGTAATCTGCGGTTTATATAAATGATAATTCATTAAACATATATATCACATGTCCACAGTGTTCATGTACTAGTAGCCACTAGTTGTACTAGTAGCTTAGGCCTTTAGTATGTAAAATAAACATTTCAAAATCAAATCCATTGTCTTTATATGATGCTACGAATTATATACGAAGGGCACATAACAATATATTTCGTTTTGCACCGATTTTACAAAGTGAAAAGGTCAATTACAACATCATCGCATATGCTGTTATGTAAAATATACAACTTAGAAGACGCGTTTCGACACATGTAGAGATACATGTAGGTAAAATGTAATTAGAATACAACATTAAAACTATGATAACACTTAGAGAAATCAAATGTAACGTACTTGAGTTGTGGCCATAGGAAATAATTGACCTTCATGAAACTTTGTGCTGATGTTCTTCAGCTTTTTAAGTGTGTCATCAAAAGCAGCTTTTTTGTTGTCTGCATCGACCTGGTCCCATCGATTTAACACAAATATGCTAGACGCTGGATCAAACACACTTCGATCCTGAGCACCCTCATGTGAGTTGTTCACAGCAGTTTCTAGTAGTTTTTTCAACTGTAAAAGTAAAAAGAACAGACAATCATGGCTTCACATATCTCATGACTGTGTAACCACAAAACCTTCGCTACACAACAGGAATTTTGGATAGAATATACCGACCCAAAATGATCATTTTTCATTGTATCCATATATTAACTTATCTTCAGAGATTAGTTCTATACTTTGATGGGATAAGAAAGAATAGCAGATTTTTAAATTCTATTTAAACCAATACATAATATTTAGTATATTCGCCCAAAATTTACTTTTGCCCTGAAAAGAATCAATTTTCAGTCACTCACGGGTCATTGTTCGACCTCTCCCATTACTTTTGTGTTTTTACCATTTTAATCTATATGGCAAAGTTGTGGCAGAAGTTACAGTAAAATTGATACATTATTAATCGGCCAGTATTTGCCTTGACATATAAAGTTACACGTCAGTTACACCTACCCTTCCCTCCTGTACTCCTCCTGCGTTCATACTGTTAATAACATAGATGAAGGCGGATGCTTTGGGTATGTAGCTTTGAACGAGGTTGGTCATTCTCTGGTTTTCCCCAACACCTGGACTATCCACCAAGAATACGGAGTGCTAGAAGACGAACGGTTTCGGTTCAAGGTTCATTATTATATTTTTCTAATAAATAGCAGGTTTATAACAAGCAATGATTGAGACCTCTGATAGGAGCAGAGCAGATATACATGTATAAGAAGCTAAGGTTACCTTTTGTGTCTGCCGGCTAAGAGTATTAAAATAATGATGACAGTATGCATTTTTCTTAATTATGAAGTGCATATTATTTCATTTCAAAGCACTATATAGGTATATGATAAACATTTTTGAAAATTATAATATAAAAACGATAACAAACTGGTATTTCATCCAGAGGATTACTCTGCAGTTATTTTTCACTGATGCTAAGCTTGTATTATTAGTTAGTATCTAAGCCTTGTGTAAGTTGTTATCTAAGGTATTAGTTAGTATCTAAGGTATTAGTTAGTATCTAAGTCTTGTGTAAGTTGTTATCTAAGGTATTAGTAAGAATCTAAGGTATTAGTTAGTATCTCAGGTATTAGTTAGTATCTAAGCCTTGTGTAAGTTGTTATCTAAGGTATTAGTTAGTATCTAAGGTGTTAGTTAGTATCTAAGCCTTGTGTAAGTTGTTGTCTAAGGTATTAGTTAGTATCTAAGGTGTTAGTTAGTATCTAAGCCTTGTGTAAGTTGTTGTCTAAGGTATTAGTTAGTATCTAAGCCTTGTGTAAGTTGTTATCTAAGGTATTAGTTAGTATCTAAGGTATTAGTTAGTATCTAAGCCTTGTGTTAGTTGTTATCTTAGGTATTAGTTAGTATCTAAGGTATTAGTTAGTATCTAAGTCTTGTGTAAGTTGTTATCTAAGGTATTAGTTAGTATCTAAGGTATTAGTTAGTATCGTATCTAAGCCTTGTGTAAGTTGTTATCTAAGGTATTAGTTAGTATCTAAGGTATAAGTTAGTATCTAAGCCTTGTGTAAGTTGTTATCTAAGGTATTAGTTAGTATCTAAGCCTTGTGTAAGTTGTTATCTAAGGTATTAGTTAGTATCTAAGGTATTATTTAGTATCTAAGCCTTGTGTAAGTTGTTATCTAAGGTATTAGTTAGTATCTAAGCCTTGTGTAAGTTGTTATCTAAGGTATTAGTTAGTATCTAAGCCTTGTGTAAGTTGTTATCTAAGGTATTAGTTAGTATCTACCTTGTAAGGTATTAGTTAGTATCTAAGGTATTAGTTAGTATCTAAGCCTTGTGTAAGTTGTTATCTAAGGTATTAGTTAGTATCTAAGGTGTTAGTTAGTATTTAAGCCTGGTGTAAGTTGTTATCTAAGGTATTAGTTAGTATCTAAGGTGTTAGTTAGTATCTAAGCCTTGTGTAAGTTGTTATCTAAGGTATTAGTTAGTAAAGCCTGGTGTAAGTTGTTATCTAAGGTATTAGTTAGTATCCAAGGTGTTAGTTAGTATCTAAGCCTTGTGTAAGTTGTTATCTAAGGTATTAGTTAGTATCTAAGCCTTGTGTAAGTTGTTATCTAAGGTATTAGTTAGTATCTAAGGTATTAGTTAGTATCTAAGCCTTGTGTAAGTTGTTATCTAAGGTATTAGTTAGTATCTAAGGTGTTACAGGAAGTTATTATCTAAGGTATAACCAGTAGTATAAAAACGGTAGTATTTTTGTGCTTAGATGAGTACTCATTCATCTGCATTTAATTACCTTTTTTGTGTCTCATAAAATATGTAATAAATGTAATGACAGGTGTCGCCATGCGTTAAACAGATAAGCTAGTTGCTGTAAATATCTAAATTTATCATGCGGCATATGACCAAAGAATCTGAAATTAATTTACTATACGTACCTTTAGTAGATCCAATGGCCAAAATATTTCAACTCTCTCATATTCGAAGACCTCCACATCACGGCTGCTGTCAGTTTGGGTCAGGTATGGCTTCAGTTGTTCCACGGACTTTGTCTTTTCCAGGGGAAAAGTGACGTCAGGTGTGTCTGAACCGAATCTGTAGACGTCCGCTCTCTTCTGGGTGTCGTATTTGATCTCGCAGATTACCGACGTATTACTTATGAAGGAGGTCGGGAGAACTTCCTCTCCAAGGAGAAGGTTGATGAGAGAACTCTTTCCTGCAGATGTTTCTCCTAAACACAGTAAGTGGTTTTGAATATCATATGAATATAAATATACCGATATAATGTAATATAATATAATATAATATACCAGCCTGCTTGGCGCCAGATGTCGCTGTTGTGCTTTCAGTCCTACGGCCGCCATTTTATGAATTAGTGCGTTACGTACGACGTGTACTAGAAATGTTCAAATTTAAAGAGGAAAGCGGAAGTGACACGGTAGACACAGGTTTACTAGTTTTAGAGGCACATCACTTGACCTGTAGACTTTACTACAAATAAACTGAAAATCGATTACCGATAAATTATAAACGCGACAAGTATAAAAGAATCGACTAGTGAAAATGAGACTTTGGAGAGCAAACAATGCCCTTTGGTACGGTTTAGAACTATGATTTAGCTAGGCAAAATTCTAATTTCAGTAGGGGAATATTGGTGTGATATATTTTTCAGAAACCGAAGGGGGGGGACCGGACACCCCCACCCTCTAAATCCGCCACTGGTTATATGTCTCAGTGCATTGGATAATAGTTAGACTACTTGGGTAAGAAAAGTGTATTGCTGTTAATGCAAAAAAAAAAAATAATAATAATAAAAATAAGCAGTGTCAGTGCTGGAATTCATATTTGTTCTTAAAATTTTATGGGTTTCGGCATCAACAAAAATATTATTTTGTTTGTATTGCAGTGGCTGACCAGGATTGGCCCGGGCTCAGTTGGGAGAACTGTCGCACGCTTTGCAAGAGTCCCGGGTTCAAATCCTTATAATAGCGAAAGCTGCGTTGTAGTTGTTTTCGTTTACAAACATAAACACTGTATATATAAACTCAAAATATGATTTCCCTTGAGTAAGCAATATATAGGCCTACTATTCATACTTAGAATATATTGCTCATACCTGTCTGTAAAGACATGTAATAACAAAATTCTTACACTTACCGGCGACAAGGATAGCGCTAGCCGGTGAATCTGCTTCATGAAGCAAGTTCTGCACAACTTCGTACACGGTGAAAGGCATCAATTCTTTATTAAGGTTGGCAATTTTATTCGGGGGCAACTTTGTCAGGTATTCATTAAGGCCTTCAAGGTGCTTTCTGAGTTCTTGCCTCACCCGTCGATCCTTCTTCACACTGTTATGGATGATGTTGAGGTTGCCCAGCTAAAATATAAAATGTTACAATAATCATGTGTCATACAGTCTTGGTCAAAATGTTTTCCCACCTTCATCCCCACGTGTTTTTGTTTACAAACGATCACTCACATTTCAACCCATTCTGAACAGTGTTTTTTTTTTCAGATACCGTATGTTACATGTCTCATGGTACAAAAAATGCACAATTTCCGGTAAAGATTTCCATATTTTATATCATTTGTGACATTTATAACGAGCACCCCCTCAACTCTCAGGATTCTGATGTTCCACGACGATTTCCACGTAGGTAAAATTGTCCATAAAATTAAAACGACTCACCAAAGGTCACCAAGTCTTTACACAATTAGCATCGGTATTTAATATTTGTAAAAGAGATGAAATTAACAAAAAAAAAAAAAAAAAGGATTTTTAAATATCATATCGTATACTCACTTATCTCCGAATAAAGGAAATATATTGGTTCATTTTCATGAGAATTTCATGTCTCAAATTTGACCATATTTTTTCGTTGGCATACATCATTGCCATATATGATATAGTTATATGTTTAAAACACTACTTAACCTACACGATGATACATTTTTAAAAAGTTTTTTAATTATTTATGAGAATTATAAATGGTGTACATATGTGGAGATGCCAAATTGCTATAACCATTATGTGCTCGTCTGATGATAACTTTAAAATGTAACCAATTAACTAATCAATATATATTCGATGAAAATATCGATAATATATAAACAAGATAATATACATGATGATGCATAAATCACAGATATCTTTATGTCTCCTCCATCTCAGTGTACCACAAACTTTTATAGTCTCATTCATAGCAAGAAAGAAGGTAACAAGGAATATTGTTTGTTCGTGATTTGGCCAAACCAGGCCGCTTTTATTATATAACCCCTCTATCCTAATCGTTTTAACAATAATAACAATGTACCAAATTGTTGCCTGTATTAAATGTTATGGCCTTAGGGATAAAAATTATACATCAAATATTCAATGAGACTCATCATCCTAAAAATTATGATGCGACGAGTCAGCAAAAGTTATTATTTACCAACAATTTTGCACAAATTTCATTTGTGGGGTTGCAAAGAGGCTTCCTTTTACCCTCTTTTCTGTGTACCCTTTTCTTCTGCAATTAAATTGAATATATCTGCAGTACCTGTCTCCTTATCAGTTGCAAATCTCATTTCATTTCATTTATTTATTTCTCAAGTTTTCACATTGAGAACATATAACGGTATTATTTAACCCGAAGGGTTAACTCTCTCATTGATTAGTTTATGGATATACACAGTTTTTGTCAATATATTGATATTTTCTGAAGCAAAAAGATTGTAAAACTTATAAGTGTTAGGTCTGTTTATAAAATAGCCGGGTACCAACCTTTTTCTATCATTTGTGAGTAAATCGTAATCCATTATATAATGAAACTCATCACCTATACTATACGTTGGCATAAATTACACATTCTATGATTTTTTCAGTTTTATTCCATCGACCTACCTCAACTGGTAGTCTATGACCCCATTTCCATAGATATTTAGATCGACCTATCCCCCTGGGGAGTCTCACTAGATTGGTGTCAGCTTAACAGGCTTAAATGTCTGTCCCGCCTACTAAAAGCTGTAAGGGGGTAATTAACTATGGTGCACGCTCAGCTGACTGCAATTTAGGGTGAACTCCCAGGGAGTTAGGTCGATCTAAATCTAAATCTCTGGATCGATCTAACGCTCTGGGAATGCACTCTATGGTTACTAGTTCTAAATCTGGCAAGTAGTATACGATTTCCCTTTTTGTTATTTCCAATTCTAAATAATATTACGTGAACAAAATTCATTTAATTATTTTGTGTAAACAACTTGTAAAAGATACCTTTTGATGAACTATTACAATCATTACACCACTTTTGTATAAACTGGTTCTGAAGGGTTTGCTCAATTCTCAGGATTAAGCCTTTTTTGTTTTGTACATTTTGGGATATCCATATATAATTCAATCCACAATCTTGTAAAATTGACTGCATATAACTCAGTCGTTTGAAATTCCAAGTATTATGATTTGTATTCATTGCATACAATAATCTATAAAGCATACAGGCTGTATAATCGACTGTAAACCACACTCCCAATAAGCCATATCGTCCTTGCAATATAGAGGAAATTATTGAAAATGCCCTAAAATCAGATTTTATGCTCTGAATAGATAAGCTTTACTGTTTTTTTTTAATTTTACTAAAAATACCACATTGACCTTCGACCCCATTTATCGAAGACCTTATTCATGGTTATATAGCTTCCATTACTAATTTGTAAAGTGTCTTCCTTTAGCTCTAGAATTGTGTATTTATCATTGTTATATCTTATTTGAATTACAAATTATGAACGATTCTCTTTCCCTACCCCCTTAAAAAAATGCCCATTTAAGCCACATGTTGTTCACAACTTTAAAATGATATCTAAATGGACATTGTTTTCGTTTTTTGAACTCGTTGAAAAATTGGTCATGAAGGATTAAGCAAAAAGGTGCGTTCCTGTTATATGTCACGGGGTTGCACGTGCACCCCTTGTTCCCACCAGGATATAAAAAGAATTAAAAGAAAATAAAGTGACGCAGGAGTAATTCTAGGAATTGGTAAATAAAAGGTTGTGTTCGGAGGATTGGCTCACTGCCCAACAGAGTACTATCTGTTCTTTCAGATTTATCTACCTAGCACAAGTGAGGTAATCCACAGCTGGAGAACACTACTGACAAGACAGATTGTGGAGCAATTTATTGGAGTTTCATAAAATAAATGAAATCTGACGCTTTATGACGAACTGTTTCATTTTATTAATGATGTTTATAAATGAAACCTTTGGATAAACATAACATCTTACTAAATACTGAAAGAAAAAAAGAAAAGAAAAAAATGTTCCCACATTAAGACTCGAACCGAGTACATATATACACATCCCTCCACCAACGATAACAGCTATCAGTCCCCCCCCCTCCCCCCCCCGCCCCCCCCCCCCCCCGTGCTTTACACGCTCTGAGATGAGACGTTGTAATTGTGTAATATCAATACAGAGATAACTAAGGCGCATATGTGACAGGACAGATACGCTGGAACGTATTGTGTAGTATGCTGAGAGTATACTTACGTTTGGTTTCATCCTCTGGTCTTTCTCTTCTTGCAGATGTCTTCGTAATATTACACGCCCCTCTTCAATGCTTTTCACACCCTTAAAATTTAGCCCCAATTCTTTGAATTTTCTTCGTAAGTCCATCAAGTTAGTAAGGCGGCTTATTTCGTCTTCAGACGCCATTTTGCTGCTGTGGCACAGTGACTGCGCGATACAAGTTGTGATAGTGAATAAACACCCTCAGTTGACGTGACATACTTACAAGTCTAACTTTTCTATAGAAGCGGTGACATAGAAAGGTACAAAGTTCAACGGAAACTGAGTAGGTGTAAATCCCTGTATTTACAGAACGACAAGGTCCGTCACGTTCACCGGAGACGGATAGGTACAAATAAGGGCACGCACGTCCTCTGTTGGGGTGTTACATACCTTTTTTGTGACTAAGTGTTATTTGCTTTCGTTGAAGCTGTCTAATTTCCACCCAGGTACTTTCACTTTGCGAAAGCAGTGGGCACAGCATCGTACAACCGGTAGCTGCTCATCCGCTGTGATAGAGCGGCAGGTAGCAGATTTGTGATAATCAAGAGCTAATATTATTCAAGTTTTCGGCCAGGTCATAAAATACAAAGATTGAAGAAGACCGGCTTCAATGTGTCCATTAACTTTAAGAGGACCGTTGATTGGAATGGGTCACAGAGGACCAGAGGAAGTTAAACTGAATTTAATGATAGTGCTTAATGAATAGCGCCCAGCTCCGAATGTACTACGTAGAATGGGGCCATCTGATCAGAAGGTGAAACCAAACGTAAGTATACTCACAACACATTACACAATACCTTCCAACATATCTATCCTGTCACGTATGCACCAGGACCTCAGTTATATCTGTATTGATATCAATAACAACATCGCAGTAACACGTGAGTGACCTCAACGAGAGAACTGTGCAGTGTAAATTAGAAAAATTCCTGCATTGAAAACATTATTGTGCGAATAAGTTCTTCCAGACTTGTTGAATAGCGGTGTTTTTAGTTCAGTTAGTGTCTATGTCGCATATAAAGATGTTGGACAGGGCTGGACTACATGGACGGTACTTGCATCATACCAGTTTTTGATAAAAAAAAAATGCTGGGTGTAGCCACCATCTACTGATATGCCTATAATCACGAATTGCATTTACTTAATGGATTGCACCATATTTACGTTTGCTACATAGTTTAGGTAATTATAAGAGAACCTTTTGCCCTGCATACTTATATTCGGATATTCAGAGTGTTTTTTCCCCATAAAACAAATGTCTGTTAACGATTAACTTAAAGAGTGAATATGTTATCAGGCGTGCATTAACAGGGTTAAAATCCTCTCCTTCGCTAAACTTCCGGTCTGTTTCTAAAAACATGTAAGTCTATTAGTCAGTATACAGTAAACTATACAATTGGGGTTTATCAGGCGTTTCAGATGTGCACAGCACTAAAGTGAAGGTTTTAGTTTAAAGTCCTTCGGAGAGTTTTGGTCTAGGTTTTAACATCTCATTTTGAAATAGTGTTCAGCAGCGCCTACTCAATTTGGGTTTCAGATGTTACTACGGGAGTGCTATCGACAGGGATTCCTCCCATTTTTCATATATCTTATTCCATTATTAACTTGTTGCACATCTGTCGCAAGAATCCTTCAGATTTTAAGTATTTAACAAAAATACGTTTTTTCTTTTCAGGTTTTAGTTATTGAGATTTTTTGTGCACTCTCTTTTTTGTTCACGGGCTTAGATTATTGCCAGGGAGACACTGTCCATTATGAAAAAACACCTTATTTGTCCCTTGGTACTAATCACATCCTTATTTCATACTGTTTATAACCCCTATGAAATATATCTGCAGAGTAAAAAGTGTTTATTTTCGAGTATTTTGAGAGCTTCAAATAGGGGGGTATGACCGCCTTTTGCCATTGAAATTTTTATGCGACTGACCTACATACCGTTGATGACTTTGAAAGATTGCTGAAATGTTGCCATCATCAGCTCTGCTCAGCCGGTGTGAAAGAAGTTGGGTTCTTGGAAAAGTCGACTAAGCAGACAAATAGACTCTGGTCCATTGAATTAATTGACAAGGAAAATTGATGATAAGGGCAATTATATCGTAAATAAATGTATTGTGTTTATTTTGTGGCCCAGTGGGTTTCCTGTATCTTTAAAGAAATTAGAGAGCCACTGAAGTGGAATTGTATTGATTGNCGCGAAAATCCTCTTTTGTGTCCTTTTAACCTACACGATGATACATTTTTAAAAAGTTTTTTTTTCAATTAGTTTATGAGTATTATAAATGGTGTACATGTGTGGAGATGCCAAATTGCTATAACCATTATGTGCTCATCTGATGATAACTTTAAAATGTAACCAATTAACTAATCAGTATATATTCGATTAAAATATCGATAATATATAAACAAGATAATATACATGATGATGCATAAATCACAGATATATTTTACCTTCTTTTCTGTGTGTAACGTTAGTAAGTGACAGCATGCCGTGAATAAGAGCGGGGAGTGTTTAGTAGAGTAACTTAAGTTGATTGACATGCTCTTATGGTATTTATACAACTGCGCTTAGTGTAAACAGAGAGAAGGCCGTTAGAGATTGCATGAGGTAGGAATAGAAAGGAAGGAAGCGGCGCGTATAATAACTGGACAGTAGTTCAATAAATAATAAGAAAGATAATATCTGAGTTGTATTTGCTACCTCGCGTAACATGACGAAGACAAGTGAATAGCTTCGTCACATGTGTACTCTTTTCTTCTGCAATTAAATTGAATATATCTGCAGTACCTGTCTCCTTATCAGTTGCAAATCTCATTCCATTTCATTTATTTATTTCTCAAGTTTTCACATTGAGAACATATAACGGTATTATTTAACCCGAAGGGTTAAATCTCTCATTGATTAGTTTATGGATATACACAGTTTTTGTCAATATATTGATATTTTTTGAAGCAAAAAGATTGTAAAACTTATAAGTGGTAGGTCTGTTTATAAAATAGCCGGGTACCAACTTTTTTCTATAATTTGTGAGTAAATCGCAATCCATTATATAATGAAACTAATCACCTACATGTATACTATACGTTCGCATAAAATACACATTCTATGTTTTTTTTCAGTTTTATTCCATCGACCTACCTCAATTGGTAGTCTATGGTTACTAGTTCTAAATCTGGCAAGTAGTGCGATTACTCTTTTTGATAGGTCCAATTCTAAATAATTACGCGAACAAAATTCATTTTTGTAAACAACTTGTAAAAAATACCTTTTGATGAACTATTACAATCGTTATACCACTTTTGTATAAACTGTTCCCGAAAGGGTTTGCTCAGTTCTCAGGATTAAGCCTTTTTTGTACATTTTGGGATATCCATATATAGTTTAATCCACAGTCTTGTAAAATTGACAGCATATAAGTCAGCCGTTTGAAATTCCAAGTATTATGATTTGTATTCATTGCATACAATAAACTATAATGCAAACAGGCTGTATAATCGACTGTAAAACACACTCCCAATAAGCCATTTCTTCTTTGCAATATAGATGAAATTTATCGAAAATGCCCTAAAATCAGATTTTATGCTCTGAATAGGTAATCTTTACTGCTTTTTTTTTAAAATGAAAATACCACAGTGACCTTTATTGACCCCATTTATCGAAGACCTCATTCAAGGTTATATAGCTTCCATTACTAATTTGTAAAGTGTCTTCCTTTAGCTCTTGAATTGTGTATTTATCATTGTTATATCTTATTTGAATTACAAGTTATGAACGACTCTCTTTCCCTACCCCCTTTAAAAATGCCCATTTAAGCCAAGTTTCTCAACTTTAAAATGATGTCTAAAAGGACATTTTTTCGTTTTTGGAACTCGTTAAAAAAATTGGCAATGGAGGATTAAGCAAAAAAAGGTGCGTTCCTGTTATATGTCACGGGGTTGCACGTGTACCCCTTGTTCCCGCCAGGATATAAATAGAATTAAAAGAAAATAAAGTGACGCAGAAGTAATTCCAGGAATTGGTAAATAAAAGGCTGTGTTAGGAGGATTGGCTCACTGCCCAACAGATTACAATCTGTTCTTTCAGATTTATCTACCTAGCACAAGTAAGGTTATCCACAGCTGGAGAACACTACTGACAAGACAGATTGTGGAACAATTTATTGGAGTTTCATAAAATAAATGAAATCTGACGCTTTTTGACGAACTGTTTCATTTTATTAATAATGTTAAGAAATGAAACCTTTGGATAAACATAACATCTTACAAAATACTAAAAGAAAAAAAGAAAAGAAAAAAAAGTCCCCCCCCCCCCCCCCCACCGTGCTTTACACGCTCTGAGATGAGACATTGTAATTGTGTAATATCAATACAGAGAAAACTGAGGCGAATACATGACAGGTTAGATACGTTGGAACGTATTGTGTAGTATGCTGAGAGTATACTTACGTTTGGTTTCATCCGCTGGTATTTCTCTTCTTGCAGATGTCTTCGTAATATTACACGCCCCTCTTCAATGTTTTTCACACCCTTAAAATTTAGTCCCAACTCTTTGAATTTTCTTCGTAAGTCCATCAGGTTAGTTAGGCGGCTTATTTCGTCTTCAGACGCCATTTTGTTGCTGTGGCACAGTGACTGCGCGAGACAAGTTGTGATAGTGAATAAACACCCTCAGTTGCCGTGACATACTTACAAGTCTAGCGGTGACACAGAAAGGTACAAAGTTCAACGGAAATTGAGTAGGTCTAAATCCCTGCATTTACAAAACGATAAGGTCTGTCACGTTCACCGGAGACGGATAGGTACAAATAAGGGCACGCACGTCCTCTGTTGGGGTGTTACGTACCTTTTTAGTGACTAAGTGTTATTTGCTTTAGTTAAAGCTGTCCAATTTCCACCCAGGTACTTTCACTTTGCAAAATCAGTGGGCACAGCATCGTACAACCGGTAGCTGCTCATCCGCTGTGATAAAGCGGCAGGTAGCAGATAAGTGATAATCAAGAGCTACTTTTATTCAAGTTTTCGGCCAGATCATAAAATACAAAGATTGAAGAAGACCGGCCTCAATGTATCCATTAACTTTAAGTCCATCGTTCATTGGAATGGGTCACAGAGGACCAGAGGAAGTTAAATTGAATTTAGTCATATTACTTAATGAATAGCGCCCATCTCCGAGTGTACTACGTCGAATAGGGTCATCTGATCAGCGGCTGAAACCAAACGTAAGTATACTCACAACACACTACACAATACGTTCCAACATATCTATCCTGTCACGTATGCACCAAGACCTCAGTTATATCTGTATTGATATCAATAACAACATCGCAGTAACACCCCAGTGACCTCAACGAGAGAACTGTGCAGTGTAAATTAGAAAAATTCCTGCATTGAAAACATTATTGTGCGAATAAGTTCTTCCAGACTTGTTGAATAGCGGTGTTTTTAGTTCAGTTAGTTTCTATGTCGCATATAAAGATGCTGGACAGGGCTGGGCTACATGTACGGTACTTGCATCATACCAGTTTTTGATTTAAAAAAAATGCTGGGTGTAGCCACCATCTACTGATATGCCTATAATCACGAATTGCATTTACTTAATGGATTGCACCATATTTACGTTTGCTACATAGTTTAGGTAATTATAAGAGAATCTTTTGCCCTGCATACTTATATTCGGATATTCAGAGTGTTTTTTCCCCATAAAACAAATGTCTGTTAACGATTAACTTAAAGAGTGAATATGTTATCAGGCGTGCAGTAACAGGGTTAAAATCCTCTCCTTCGCTAAACTTCCGGTCTGTTTCTAAAACCATGTAAGTCTGTTAGTCAGTATACAGTAAACTATACAATTGGGGTTTATCAGGCGTTTCAGATGTGCACAGCACTAAATTGAAGGTTTTAGTTTAAAGTCCTTTGGAGAGTTTTGGTCTAGGTTTTAACATCTCATTTTGAAATAGTATTCAGCAGCGCCTATTCAATTTGGGTTTCAGATGTTACTACGGGAGTGCTATCGACAGGGATTCCTCCCATTTTTCATATATCTTATTCCATTATTAACTTGTTGCACATCTGTCGCAAGAATCCTTCAGATTTTAAGTATTTAACAAAAATTCGTTTTTTCTTTTCAGGTTTTAGTTATTGAGATTTTTTGTGCACTCTCTTTTTTGTTCACGGGCTTAGATTATTGCCAGGGAGACACTGTCCATTATGAAAAAACACCTTATTTGTCCCTTGGTACTTATCACATCCTTATTTCATACTGTTTATAACCCCTAGGAAATATATCTGCAGAGTAAAAAGTGTTTATTTTCGAGTATTTTGAGAGCTTTAAATAGGGGGGTATGACCGCCTTTTGCCATTGAAATTTTTATGCGACTGACCTACATACCGTTGATGACTTTGAAAGATTACTGAAATGTTGCCATCATCAGCTCTGCTCAGCCGGTGTGAAAGAAGTTGGGTTCTTGGAAAAGTCGACTAAGCAGACAAATAGACTCTGGTCTATTGAATTAATTGACAAGGAAAATTGATGTTAAGGGCAATTATATCGTAAATAAATTTATTGTGTTTATTTTGTGGCCCAGTGGGTTTCCTGCATCTTTAAAGAAATTAGACAGCCACTGAAGTGGAATTGTATTGATTGATTATCCTTAAGTTGAGTGATTCTGTTATTATCTAGGCCAGCTGAAGTGAAGTATTGATTGATTATCCTTAAGTTGAGTGATTATGTTATTATCTAGGCCGGCTGTCATAAATGCTGTAGACCCGTGATTCAGGGCAGATTGAAGAAAAGAGGACAAATTAAGTAGTGACTTTAAGTGACAGGTGCGCGTTCACTGGCGTTTAACATTTAATTTGCCAGCTATAATCCAGCACTTGTGATTTTTGTCTTAAATCTAGTGTTACTGACATTTACTCTCTGCGACAGATACTAGTCTCAGTAGCATAGAGTGCAGCTAATTCAAGACCCTGGCTGCTATGTGCATCTTCACGGCGGAATTTGTGGACCAGGGAGGGTATTTTGTGATCTGTACTGAATTGGTTGAACTGCGCAAATATTTTAACTGGGTCGTGTGAACAGTGCTGTCTCTCTTACAGATGTTAAACTGCGCCCCAAAAGGCTTAATGACGCGTACTTTCTAATATTTTTCATCTTCACTGAGAGTAAACAATTTTTGTTTTCTTTCCCTTGACCCCTTCATTAACTTACTAACTCATGTAGGGTTGTTTGGTTTGTGTGCTTTGATCGAAAGAGTTCTCAATAAGTCATATTTTTAGATGATTCGATTCGTTATTCAACGAATCGAATAAAGAAAGTACTACCAATATTAATAAATGAAGACCAAAATGAGTTTATGGCGGGCAGATACATAGGTGAGAATACACGGACCATTTTCGATTTAATTGAATACTGTGACTCGCATGAAATACCAGGTCTGTTGATGCAAATCGATTTTGCTAAGGTTTTCGATTCAATCGATTTGGGGTTTTATCGAAAAAACCTTTGAATTCTTTCGCTTTAGAGAATCTATCATAAAATTGATAAAGCTCTTCCTTAAAGACTCCTCTTCGTGTGCCTTGGTTAATGGTTTTGCCTCTTCTTTCTTCAATCTTTCTCGGGGTTGCCGTCAAGGGGACCCCATCTCCCCATACCTTTTCATTCTTTGTGCTGAGATACTAAGTATCATGTTAAAAAAATGAAATAGACATAAAAGGCATTACAATACATAATCAAACTTTTCTCATCTCCCAGTATGCTATTACCACGACTATTGTGTTGGATGGGACTGAAAAAAAGTTTAAGAAATACCCTAAAGATTCTAAATGAATTCTCACAATTCTCTGGACTACAAATGAACAATCAAAAAACTATATTAAACTGGTTCGGAAGCAAGAAAGACTCACAAGAGTGTAAAGAGTTGAATCTCGATTGGAATGAACGTATTTTCAGAATCCTTGGAATAGATTTCTCAGTAAATTTACATGAAATGATTGAGAAAATTTTTAGAGAGAAACTCGAAGATATGGAAAGAATTATGAAACAATGGACTCACCGATCGCTAAGTTTTGGGGAGAAATGTAATACTTAAAAATCAATGATCCTTCCAAAAATGACTCATTTATTTTCCACATTGCCAATACCAAATAAATATGCAGACAAAATACAAAAAATGTGCTTTAATTTCTTATGGAATGGAAAAATTGAAAGAGTAAAACGACATATATAATGACACAATCGTACTCAAATGGAGGTATAAAAGGATTCCAAATATGAAGTGCAATGCGCTCAACAGTTTGCTGATTATAACAAAATTTATTATATATAAATTCAAAATGAAAACCATTACCCTGCACATAGAAAATATAAAAATAGAATGGAGACAGGCCTACATCGCAGAGAGAAATATAAGTCTGAGAAACATGACAATAGATAAATTTAATGAAAAATGGAAAAAGCTGCATCCTCTCTTTCTGGACTGATATCTTCTATCTGCGTATGTTCCCCTGCCGTTATTTGATAGTAAAACACATATTTCTTTCTATCTGTATTAGATCATAAAGCTTTGTATTATTTATAAAGTTTTATCAGGTCTCGTACTATTAGGTTATCAACATATCGTTGTTGACACATATTGTAAAAGTTACACTACTTATATATCTATATTTTTGCAAATGACTGAATGTCTGTTTGTAAAGAAGAGTGAGTAAGAGAGATATTTATTTAGTTATTTATCTTTTTCTTTATCTGTACCTACTCTATCTCACATGAAATAGAAATATTTAAGAATGTTACCTTTTTACCTGGACGCATCTTTTAAACTGAGGAAGTCAATATTAAATTTTAAGTCATTACATTTATATAGGTTGTGATAATAAAGTGAGCAGCTATGAGCAAACAGGATAACAAATACTACATAAACATGACGCGGTCTGCAGATTTTGCCACAGAAATCGCATTTGAGAGCAGCATTGAGGGTCGGAATAGTGTGTCTTCTCTCACGAGCACATTTGTAGATATTGACTCTGTCCTCCTATACTATCTTTGCAGTCTCTGTAATGGTGCTCCTCCGCTTGTTTTTGTTACATGCCTCGATTTTCTCATTTATCTCTGTTGGTATTCACTTTTTCGTGTGTCTTGATAAAGCGTGATTAAAACGTTGTTACCTGCCTTTTCTAATGTCCCCATACATAACCAGCTTAGGAATGAAGTGGTGTGTTTTCCATTCTGCTGACCTGATGTGCCCGTCGTTACTGTGACGACGTAATAATATAGTGTTAGTGGGTCTTAACACCTTCACTTCAGGTGTCTCATTTGAACGCCTGGCAGTTGCTTGCTTTATGTCTCTACGCTACAGTGTAAAACTGTCCATGGCATTAAGTAATGCTGGTAGTAGAGTTGCGTTATAATACACAGACAATGGAGTCAGTTAATTACACAGTCAGTCAATTACACAGTCAGTTAAACACACCTAATTACACATTTACATATCTTACATGAGATATAAATCTTTTAAAAGTATTTCTTTTTTGACGTAGACAAATCTTTAACACTGAAGAGGTGGTAATAAAGTGGTAGCCATAATATCTGGAAATACATACTTCAGACTTAATAATGACTCAAATTTTGTGTTTTGTTTTCTGAGGCCCAATCACAACTTTTTCATGTATTTGTTATTGCATTCTCTCTTAGGCGAATGTTCGAACTTATTCTCACATGGCTGAATCTTATAATTTGAAATCCAAATTAAACATTGCAACACCCCAACATAATCGGTTTGGTAAATGTGCTGTTTCTCCGGGACTATCTGATATTAACGATGGTATCTATCAGACGTTGGGTTAAAACTAGTATATGCCTTACATGAGCAGTAATTCAGTCGGTGAATAGCTGAAAAGCCAAAGTTTCCGTTTAAATTATTCTGACATGAAATAAAATCTATTGTATTGCATTGCATTGTGGTGTATTGTATTGCATTGCAGTGATTGTAATGTATTGCAGTGTATTGTAGTAAACCATACTGTGAATCCACTACATTGTCATAAAATTGAACTTTACAGATGTAATTGACAAAGGCATACTGGTAGTTAGCTAAGAGACGAGAAGCCGGCCTCACACAATCTCAGTGCAAACATTAGCAAACAGCTACAAGATATTACACTGGCGATGGACTTGGCGGAGGAGCCGGGGCATTCAGATGCCGACCAAGAAAACCCGAACCAGCGTCCGATATGTGATGGGCAGCCATTTCAGGTTTGTTTTCATTGTTGGCAAATACACTGACATACACAGACAGATATTCACACTAAAAACGATCACATCGGATGAACCATTACAGGCGGCCTCAACACGTCTGAGAGGGAAACGTCCACCCAGTCCTCACATGCAATTTCTAAGTTTGATACATTTTACTATAATGATAAAATATATATTTCCAGTTGCAAGAATCCTACAAAGCTACGGCAAGGCTTACGTCTAGGGTTATTGAACAGGTAGAAGATCTCAGTGGAGCCATGGACCTGATGGAAGAGATGCAAGTTTCAATGGAAGGTATTGAAACTCTAGACGACGCGTTGGAAAGACTGGAACTCCATCGAAAGAAAATGGAAACCGGCGGACGACCAAACGAGGTTTGTTTTAATAAACCTGTTGTCTGAGGACAGGAAACTTTCAAGCAACCTACGAATGTGATATGAGAGCCTGACGGGGAAGCTGGCCTCATTATATGCCCAAACTGGAATGATTGTAGGAACGGGAAATAGCTAGAAATAGGGGCATGCCATACATACATACATACATATATACATACATACATACATACATACATACATACATACATGCATATGTAGAGTATCAAAAAAATCCACGCGTTAGTAACTTAAAGTAGTGAAAAAATCTCCAAAATGTCCTGAAATTGACGAAAACTTAAATATTGAGCAGTTTTGAATATACACGTGTTTAGTTTTAATAAGATTCAATAACTCTTTCAATATAGACTGACATTTATGATTTGGTATGTTGTGTCCTAAAGTCCGTTTAGGAAATAATGATTGTTTCAGTTTGTGACACATTCTTGAGCAATATCAAATCTGTCCTCTTTGCACTGATTGTACATTATTGATTTGTTAATTTTTATTCCATGTCTTAGGGCAGTCAAGTGTTTACACACATCAAAGACATTGATGACGAAGGACGCAGCAATCTGCAGGCTATTTTCAGTGACGTCATAGATCACATGGCGTTTTTGGACCACGAAGGCGTCATAGTGGAACGTCTTCGTGCGGAGGCGCTGCTGAAGGGACAGTCAGCATCAGAAGACTTAATGATGCGACGAGCTGCACTGAACAGCGGGGAGTGTCCCATACTTGTAGCGGGTATGTAAAATACGTTTGTGCTTTAAAACATTATGTCAGATTATTGCACGCTAAAGACATCTGCAATGCAAATCTCCACCCTTCATTTTTAACCTCATCTATAAACATTCATAGCTTCATTTGACAATAGCTACAGAAACATGTAACCGAAATTTTCAAACCAGTATTTTTTTGTTTATCGAAAACCCATAGTAAATGAAACTGTTCAACACAACTCTATTTAATACATGGTATAATAAAAAATATTGTTTTATGGGCTTCTATGGTATTTCACGTGGTTTAGTATAACCACAAACAATCTCCCTAAAAAGAAGCTTGTCTTTGTTAGTCTAGTTAGAACATTCCTTTTTTATATTAAGGTGAGACATCCTCGGGTAAAAGTTCTTTGTTGAATGTACTCCTTCAAGACAAGGTCCTTCCGGAAGATCACCTCCCTTGTACGGCTACCATAACACGCATCAAATACGCCCCGCCTAATGAAAAACGCATTGTTATTCGCCAAGTTAACGACTGTGCTCATACAGACGACGAAATGGAAACAGTTATACCATTAAAAGACGCTGGTGTATCTATCCATGACGCTCTTAAGCCATACCTTTTCCCCGAGGACAGATCCAAGCAGTTAGCATATACTGTTGACATATTTCTACCGTTGGATGTCCTAAAGGTTTGGACACGCTTTAGAAATACACATTTCCATTTTTCTTTTCAATCTTAAAAAGAGTCTCACCCGTAAATGGTTAAAATCTGTCATTAGTTAACAAGTGAGATCATGAGAGCATGAGACCATAGCCTTGACCTCTGACCACAACCTCCATGATCACTTTAGCCTTGACCTCTGATCCCAACCGCCATGAACACCA